TTAGGCGTTTATAGGGTCTGATCAGATTAGAATTAGGTCAATTAGGCTTAGTTTAAGTCTGATTAGGGTGCTAAAAGTCTAATCAGGGGTTGGTAAGTCATTAGCGGTGGCTTAGGTTTGATGATTAGGACTTTTAGGTGATTGACTAGGACTTAGGGTCATCTAATCAGGGGTTGGTCGACTAGGGTTGGCTTAGGTCTGATTAGGGTTGTGTGATGGTCTAGTCGGGACTTTTGGTTGTCTAACTAGGGCTGTTAGGATCTAGGTAGCACTTGGGTAGGTCTGATTAGGACTTTGTGAGGGGCCGGGTAGACTCGGGATCGTAGGATTGGTTAGGACTGTGTTGGGGGCCATGTAGACTCGGTGTTATAGGTCTGATTAGACGTATTCAGGTCTGGTTAGCCTTAATATAGGTCTGGTTAGACGTAATCAGGTCTTAAGGTAGGCTGTGTTTTCGAGTCTAATAGGTCGGTTAGGCAAAATTATGCCTAGGGTAAGTCCAATCATGTTTGTGCGAGAGTCTAGGAGTTGGTTAGGACTGTGTTGGGGGCCATGTAGACTCGGTGTTATAGGTCTGATTAGACGTATTCAGGTCTGGTTAGCCTTAATATAGGTCTGGTTAGACGTAATCAGGTCTTAAGGTAGGCTGTGTTTTCGAGTCTAATAGGTCGGTTAGGCAAAATTATGCCTAGGGTAAGTCCAATCATGTTTGTGCGAGAGTCTAGGAGGTCGGTTAGGTAGAAATATACCTTGTGTTAAGTCCAATCAGGTCTGGTCTAGAGTGTGTTAGATCCGTTTAGGTAAGATGTACCTAGGGAGATGTCCGGTTAGACTTGGTTTAAGGTCCGCTAGATCGGTTTAGGTTGAGTGCCAAGGTTAAGTCCGGTCAGGTCGTGTTCTCTAGGTCTTGTAGGTCTGATTAGGTAGAGACGTACCTAGGATTAGGACCGATAGACTAGGGTTAGAGCGTGTCAAGCACGGCTAGGTAGAAATATACCTAGGGTAGGTCTTATAGGCTGATTTTAGAGATCATTAGGTCTGTCTAGGTAGAAACATACCTAGGGTTAAGTCCTCTAGGGTTCGGTCTCATCCCTCGTGTCATGTTGCATCACTTCTAGGGTCGGTTAAGTCTCTTCCGGGTAGGGTCGGTTTTAGACTCTTGATATATCATCGTAGGATGATGGAGTTAGATTGTCTAGCTCGGTATACCCCGAAAGGGGGTATGGTGGAAGGACTAGGGGTCCCGGGCAAACCCGAGAAATCGGGTGCAGGAGTAGGCCAAGGACCAGGTGGAGTGAGTGGTTCCGCGGGTAGGTAGGGACACTACAAGAAGGAGTTGTAGGTCCCGGATGACGAGGTAGGGAGAGTCCGAGGTAGAAGGACGTTGACCTCGGAGGAGTAACCGAAGATGCTTCGGTTCTCGGTGGTAGGTCAGGAGGTGAGGTTTCCACATTTAGGTGGAGCTTCCTCGGGTAGGATGCTCAGGAGATGGTGTGAGCTGGGAGGTGTCGGGATTCACCAGGTAGAGTCGGTGTAGGTTGGAGCGCTAGGACACTCCCTCTCGAGGTGGAGCACGTGCACTCACGTGCCTCACTCTCGGTGGAGCATCGTAGGTGACTAGGAAAGTCTTCGCGGGATAAAACCGTGGGACAATTCTAGTTGGCAGATTAGGGTCCGAGGGTAGAAGTCGTATACTCATAGGCGGTGTAGACTCTACGGGGATCCAGGGCTAGGTAGTCTAGCAGGTTCGATAGTATGACTCAGGATTAGTCTCGGGGTAGTCGGGTTAGACTCGGGAGACGGGTAGATGTCGGGGGTTAACTCTCGAGGGTGCACGGGTGAAGTTTAGACTTCATCGGAGAGAGTTATATAGACGGTCTAGAGAGTCATAACTATTCGAGGTGATCGTTAGTCTTCGGAAACGGGAGGTGTCGAGGGACACTCGGACACTCGTTTTGGGTAGACTAGGATTTGCGTGTTTATTTTGTTTATTCACGCTGAGACGTACTTATGGTACGCTCGGTAAGAACTCTCCTAATAACGGTGTTCCAATACGCCTTGGATCATGCCGGGAGGGAGAGTTAAATGGAAGTAAAGGGAAGTGCTAGGGTTCAGATTTGGCGTAGTTTTCTTCGTGTTCTACTTTTGCAGGTTTTGCAGAAGAAGGTGGAGATTTGTAGAGTGTCTTCTACAAAACCTCCGGACGAAGTGGAGGCTCTTGAAGCTTCGGAATGAAAGAGAGGCTTCTGAAGGACGGAGGGGCAAAGTCGTCTTTTGGTTAGGTCAATAATCTGACCTAGGGTTTGCTCATTTTGTAACAGACTTGTATTTTTCGTTCTTTGGGTTTCTCTCTCTTGCGGCGAAGCGACTCTCGCTTCTCCGGCGTTCGGGGCCGCCGTTCGGCGGTTTCCGGCGTGAGTCTATGGCTGTAACCTTAGATCGAACACTTCCTCTTCCCGAGACGTAGGTACCGAGCGTTAGAGCTCGGTACTGAACTCGTATCTCCTGTCTCTTTCGTTTTGGTTCTCCGTTCTTGCACACGAGCGTTTGATCGGAGAGATTACGGTGAGGAACCGGCCGGCCTGAACCACAACAATGGAGGAAAAAAAATAATACGGAATGATTCCATTTAATTATATTAAATATAATGCATTTTTTTTTAAAAAAATCTCTCATAATTAAAAATATTTATCTTAACTCATCAATGTACCAAGGTACGGAATGTTCTTGGCTGACCACTTTTTTTTTTTTTAAAAAAAAAATCTGGAAATGTGAATGAAACTGACATATTGAATTTGTCAGCTTACTTGTAAATTGGGTTAAATTGGCCGGCAACCCTTGGTCCTCCTCCTTATATATTAGGTTACTTATACATCCCTCTTCATTATAAATACCCTTTTCTCAATTCCAGATTTGCCCTTAGATTTTACATCGATCGGCTTTGAAAGGGCTAAAGGTTGATGCTGTGGAGAAAGGCCTGTCCATGTATGTATTCATAGTGTTATTACTGATCAGTTATAATGATCTTAAAGCGATTTTGGTATTAATTGCAGATTCTTTTCGACGAGTTTTAATAACTTGTGGCTCAAGCAAAAGGGAAGCTCAGAGATGGCCGAAAAATCAGAAACTCTTCAGGCTATCAGCAAGGAAAGCATTGATCTGGTATGTACAATATATGTATATGTATATATATGTATATGTATATGTATATGTATTATACGAAACGGGTGTTGGGCTTGTAGGAAAATATGATCAGATACCAAATGTGATTTCTTCTGCAGGAAAATGTACCACTGGAAGAGGTTTTCGACCATCTGAAATGCACCAGAGAGGGTTTGAGCTCCAATGAAGCACAAGAGCGGCTTTCATTGTTTGGTTACAACAAACTCGAGGAGAAAAGGGTTCGGAATCGAATTCCATCTCACATTTTAATGTCCTCCTAGACACGGTTTTTGACATGATCTTCTTTCTGTTCATCACCAGGAAAGTAAGATACTAAAGTTCTTGGGATTCATGTGGAATCCACTGTCATGGGTCATGGAAGCTGCAGCCATCATGGCCATTGCTCTTGCTCATGGCGGAGTAAGTTCATCATCGTTTCTTCTCTTGAACTGTTACTTGAGAAATAAGTTACACGTTGCTGAGTAATGATCAAATCTGTATCAGGGAAAGCCTCCTGATTACCATGACTTTGTGGGGATTGTGATCTTACTTCTGATAAACTCGACGATCAGTTTCATAGAAGAAAACAATGCCGGAAATGCAGCTGCTGCTCTCATGGCTCGGTTGGCTCCTAAAGCAAAGGTTGCTCCTTTTACATCCTGAAATTTCGATACTTGTTCGGTACGGAAAACTGACTCATCATCGTCAGCTCTTTTAGGTCTCACGAGACGGGACATGGGATGAGATAGATGCTGCTGTGTTGGTTCCTGGAGATATAATCAGTATAAAACTAGGAGACATCATTCCTGCAGATGCCCGCCTTCTCGAAGGAGACCCTCTAAAGATTGATCAGGCAAGATCTCTTTCCACAAGTGAGAGATGAGATGTGAACTCAAGAGTTATTACAACTTGGTTCTTGAACTAATCTTGTCTGCATCCAGTCAGCTCTTACAGGAGAATCTCTTCCAGTTACGAAACATCCAGGTGCTTCAGTGTACTCTGGTTCAACCTGCAAGCAAGGTGAAATAGAAGCAGTCGTCATTGCAACTGGCGTTCACACTTTCTTCGGAAAGGCAGCTCATCTTGTGGAGAACACTACCCATGTCGGCCACTTTCAGAAGGTCAGTTCCTCAGTCTGGTCATTTGCAGAAGAGAAAACTTCTAGTTTTCCAAAAAGATGTGCAAACTTAATGATCAAATTACATATTTCTCTTTCACAATGATTGACAGGTCTTGACTGCAATAGGGAACTTCTGTATCTGCTCAATTGCCGCTGGAATGGCGATAGAGATTATCGTCATATACGGTATCCAACAGAGAGGATACCGTGTTGGAATCGATAACCTTCTTGTGTTACTGATCGGCGGGATCCCAATCGCAATGCCTACTGTTCTTTCAGTCACAATGGCAATCGGCGCTCACCGACTGGCTCAGCAGGGTGCCATAACAAAGAGGATGACAGCCATTGAAGAAATGGCGGGAATGGATGTTCTGTGCAGCGATAAAACTGGCACTCTCACACTAAACAAGCTTACTGTGGACAGAACTCTTATCGAGGTCTTCTCCGTTCCCCTTTCTTCTTACATGTAGTTAATGTCAGAATCCAGACAGGTTTGTGTTAAAAGTGTTTATAATGTTCATCCGTTTTTTGCAGGTTTTCAAGAAGGGTGTTGAGAAGGATACAGTTGTGCTCATGGCTGCGAGAGCTTCACGTTTGGAGAACCAAGATGCCATAGATACCGCCATTGTTTCAATGCTGGGAGACCCGAAAGAGGTACTTTAATTGTTCAGAAACAAAAGTGATAGACACATTCAATTCGTTGTGTCTGAAGAATGTCAGATACAATACTGACCTGATGATTCATTTCAGGCACGTGCTGGAATTCAAGAAGTCCATTTCCTTCCATTCAATCCCACTGATAAAAGAACTGCGCTTACATACGTAGATGGGGAAGGCAAGATGCATCGAGTGAGCAAAGGCGCTCCTGAGCAGGTTATACACCTTTCATTGTTTTACCTTCTCTTATGGTCGTTACCTTGAGGTACACGCAACATATTTTCATTTTTCCAGATTTTGGCTTTGGCACACAACAAAGTGGAGATCGAGAAAAGGGTACATATGGTTATCGATAAGTTTGCAGAAAGAGGCCTAAGATCACTTGCAGTTGCCTATCAGGTGACAGACAGACAGATAGATAACTACACTTGCATTAATGGGAAACCTCTCTGATGAATACAGACATAACAGTCTGGTTTCTGTACAGGAAGTACCAGATGGTGATGTTAAAAGCCAAGGTGGTCCTTGGGAATTAGTAGGCCTTCTTCCTCTGTTTGACCCTCCTCGCCATGACAGTGCTCAGACAATCGAGAGAGCTCTTCTGCTTGGAGTCAGTGTTAAAATGATCACAGGTAATGTCTTTTCCTAGCGCCATTTCTTCAACCTTGAATTCGTTTACTCATAGTGGTAATTTACTAAATTCTGGCAGGTGACCAGCTGGCAATTGCCAAGGAAACAGGAAGAAGGCTTGGAATGGGCGCAAACATGTACCCGTCTTCATCTTTGCTCGGCGAAACCCATATCGAAGCAGATTCAGCAATCCCCATTGATGAACTCATTGAAAATGCAGATGGGTTTGCAGGTGTCTTTCCTGGTGAGTAACTTGTTTCTCTGAACTACATTCAATCGCCTTGATCTTAAAGCAATGTTCAGGTAAGGAAAAGATTTCTGATTGTTTCGCCTTTGGTAGAGCACAAGTATGAGATCGTAAGGAGACTCCAAGCCAGGAAGCACATATGTGGAATGACTGGTGACGGAGTGAATGATGCACCGGCTCTGAAGAAAGCTGATATCGGAATCGCTGTGGCGGATTCCACTGACGCTGCCCGCAGTGCTTCTGACATTGTTCTTACAGAACCTGGGCTTAGTGTTATCATCAGTGCTGTCTTGACCAGCCGTGCAATCTTCCAGAGAATGAAAAACTATACGGTAACCCTACTCGATAAATCGTATAAGTATGTCTACAAAAAACTTAGCTTGATCGTTTTCCTTTTCATTTTGCAGATCTATGCTGTTTCTATCACTCGATACTTGTTCGGTACGGAAAACTGACTCATCATCGTCAGCTCTTTTAGGTCTCACGAGACGGGACATGGGATGAGATAGATGCTGCTGTGTTGGTTCCTGGAGATATAATCAGTATAAAACTAGGAGACATCATTCCTGCAGATGCCCGCCTTCTCGAAGGAGACCCTCTAAAGATTGATCAGGCAAGATCTCTTTCCACAAGTGAGAGATGAGATGTGAACTCAAGAGTTATTACAACTTGGTTCTTGAACTAATCTTGTCTGCATCCAGTCAGCTCTTACAGGAGAATCTCTTCCAGTTACGAAACATCCAGGTGCTTCAGTGTACTCTGGTTCAACCTGCAAGCAAGGTGAAATAGAAGCAGTCGTCATTGCAACTGGCGTTCACACTTTCTTCGGAAAGGCAGCTCATCTTGTGGAGAACACTACCCATGTCGGCCACTTTCAGAAGGTCAGTTCCTCAGTCTGGTCATTTGCAGAAGAGAAAACTTCTAGTTTTCCAAAAAGATGTGCAAACTTAATGATCAAATTACATATTTCTCTTTCACAATGATTGACAGGTCTTGACTGCAATAGGGAACTTCTGTATCTGCTCAATTGCCGCTGGAATGGCGATAGAGATTATCGTCATATACGGTATCCAACAGAGAGGATACCGTGTTGGAATCGATAACCTTCTTGTGTTACTGATCGGCGGGATCCCAATCGCAATGCCTACTGTTCTTTCAGTCACAATGGCAATCGGCGCTCACCGACTGGCTCAGCAGGGTGCCATAACAAAGAGGATGACAGCCATTGAAGAAATGGCGGGAATGGATGTTCTGTGCAGCGATAAAACTGGCACTCTCACACTAAACAAGCTTACTGTGGACAGAACTCTTATCGAGGTCTTCTCCGTTCCCCTTTCTTCTTACATGTAGTTAATGTCAGAATCCAGACAGGTTTGTGTTAAAAGTGTTTATAATGTTCATCCGTTTTTTGCAGGTTTTCAAGAAGGGTGTTGAGAAGGATACAGTTGTGCTCATGGCTGCGAGAGCTTCACGTTTGGAGAACCAAGATGCCATAGATACCGCCATTGTTTCAATGCTGGGAGACCCGAAAGAGGTACTTTAATTGTTCAGAAACAAAAGTGATAGACACATTCAATTCGTTGTGTCTGAAGAATGTCAGATACAATACTGACCTGATGATTCATTTCAGGCACGTGCTGGAATTCAAGAAGTCCATTTCCTTCCATTCAATCCCACTGATAAAAGAACTGCGCTTACATACGTAGATGGGGAAGGCAAGATGCATCGAGTGAGCAAAGGCGCTCCTGAGCAGGTTATACACCTTTCATTGTTTTACCTTCTCTTATGGTCGTTACCTTGAGGTACACGCAACATATTTTCATTTTTCCAGATTTTGGCTTTGGCACACAACAAAGTGGAGATCGAGAAAAGGGTACATATGGTTATCGATAAGTTTGCAGAAAGAGGCCTAAGATCACTTGCAGTTGCCTATCAGGTGACAGACAGACAGATAGATAACTACACTTGCATTAATGGGAAACCTCTCTGATGAATACAGACATAACAGTCTGGTTTCTGTACAGGAAGTACCAGATGGTGATGTTAAAAGCCAAGGTGGTCCTTGGGAATTAGTAGGCCTTCTTCCTCTGTTTGACCCTCCTCGCCATGACAGTGCTCAGACAATCGAGAGAGCTCTTCTGCTTGGAGTCAGTGTTAAAATGATCACAGGTAATGTCTTTTCCTAGCGCCATTTCTTCAACCTTGAATTCGTTTACTCATAGTGGTAATTTACTAAATTCTGGCAGGTGACCAGCTGGCAATTGCCAAGGAAACAGGAAGAAGGCTTGGAATGGGCGCAAACATGTACCCGTCTTCATCTTTGCTCGGCGAAACCCATATCGAAGCAGATTCAGCAATCCCCATTGATGAACTCATTGAAAATGCAGATGGGTTTGCAGGTGTCTTTCCTGGTGAGTAACTTGTTTCTCTGAACTACATTCAATCGCCTTGATCTTAAAGCAATGTTCAGGTAAGGAAAAGATTTCTGATTGTTTCGCCTTTGGTAGAGCACAAGTATGAGATCGTAAGGAGACTCCAAGCCAGGAAGCACATATGTGGAATGACTGGTGACGGAGTGAATGATGCACCGGCTCTGAAGAAAGCTGATATCGGAATCGCTGTGGCGGATTCCACTGACGCTGCCCGCAGTGCTTCTGACATTGTTCTTACAGAACCTGGGCTTAGTGTTATCATCAGTGCTGTCTTGACCAGCCGTGCAATCTTCCAACAACTCTGTTTCACTTTGAATCCCACGCGCTAAATCAACTAACTCACACGCGCGTGATTTTCACAGACCCACACGCGCGTGACCATAGTCGCTGGACAGGTGGATCATCATCGATCTAGAATATCTAATTAAACCAGACAAAACCCAGATTCTGTTCTTCAAAAGAAGATAAATCGGTCGCCGACCAGGGACCCTTGTTCCGAGCTGACTTCGCCGGCGACGGTGTCCCGGTTGTGTTACCGGAGATTCCTTATTTGTTTCTTGCTATTTTTTTCACCGAGGAGCCCTAGTTGACAGTTTCTGTTCCAGGAACCAGACAGGTCGAGAGGAGGAGGAGAAGAAGAAGAAGAAGAAGAAGAGAAAGTCATCTTTCTCGGCTGTTCTTATTACAGGAGGATGGCTGGTCTTAATCTATTCGTCGCAGTAGCTGCTACTGTTGCCCTAATTTTCACTTGTCTCCCGCTCGCGTACTCTGTTCCTTTCATTGTATTGCATGGTAGTTCTGCTTCTAATCATCTTCCCCGAATCGATTTTGTGTTGGATGGTCCTGTTGCTTGTGGGAACTATACGATCGTTTCTGTATTTGCTGTGAAACGATGCTTGTCTGTGTTCCTGGATTATGTTTTGTTGGATTATGTTTGGTATTTACCTCGTCTCTATGAAAAATCCCAACGGCCCGAGCTCGATTAAGGTTAAAGTTAATGGATTTTATATTCTAGTAGTAGCTTGCCTGTTTCCTGAAATATTTTCTTACAGATTTTCCTCAAAAGGTTGCTGATTTCCTGGTCTCTGGAAAAGGGTTCTTTTTCTATGTTCTGTAATGATATTCTTACACTTGTGAAGTTCTTCTAATCATGCTTCCCAGGAATCAGTGATAAGTGCAGCAATCGGGGAGTGACTCAGTTTACTGATCTTCTAAGTGAGTGGTCTGGTTCCAAAGGATATTGCTTGTATGCTTCCATTCTCTGCCTTTGTCTGGTGTCTTTGGCTGTTTCTTTCTGTAGCTCATTTTCTTGGGAACTCAGGGAAATTGGAAATGGATCATGGGACTCGTGGACTATGCCCCTTATCGATCAGGTGAAATCTGTGATCTTGTTACATTTTGTTGAAGAAAGAATGTTATGTATTCAGGTTATCTGATTTCTTTTTCTGTTCTTTTGCAGATATCGGTTGCTTGTGAGAAGGTTGGAAAATTCTCGGTATTTGCCGGTAATGTTTCTAGGATGATTCAGGCATTGTATGTAAATTCCATACTAAATGTTGCAGGTGAAGAACATGCCTGAGCTCAGTGAGGGTTACAACATTGTCGGGCTTTCTCAGGTGATATTTAGTTTCATTTGTTTCCATGAGTGTCTCTGTTTGCAAAAAGAAATACTATTACTTTATCTGATCCTTTCCTCGTAGGGTAACATGATTGGTCGAGGCCTTATCGAGTGGTGTGACGGGGGACCTCCGGTAAGTCCATTCCAATTGCAGATCATGTCTTTCTTACCGTAACGTACTTTTGTTTTCGGTAAATTTTTTTCTTCCGACGAACCGTTGGTGGATGGAATTAGGTTAAGAATTTCATATCGGTAGCAGGCCCCCATGCTGGTACAGCCTCGATCCCGTTATGTGGCGTGAGTATTTTCACGCAAAGTTTCTTTCTTTGTTCATTTACCTTCGAGTAGTAATATCGGAAATTGGTATTTTATACGGATACGGCCATCTCTTTTGCAGTCTACGTGGGTTTGCATCATGCTGGACAGTCTGATCAAAACAGAAATCTACAGTGACTACATTCAGGTGCCTTGACTCGTTATCTCTGTCAAGAATCAACATCATTACCTCTGGAAATGGACCGTCAAATCGATATCTTTTACTTAAATTACAGGAACATCTGGCTCCTAGCGGCTTTCTCAAGATCCCGACTGTAAGTTCTTGGTGGAAAACTATGCGACCTTCGAAACCCGGGATTGAATTCTCTCACACACACACACATTTGAATCCTTTCACAGGACATTTCGAGTTACATGGAAGGTTGCAAGTTTCTTCCAAAGCTGAACAATGAACTCCCCGTGAAAAATTCGACATATAAGGAAAGGTTTTCGAGCTTGGACAACCTCGTGCTCATTATGGTCGGTATCAAAGTTTGCTTCTTTATCATTACACAGCCTCCTTCTCTGCCGAGTTTGTTAACGTAAACTTCCAATATTCCGTCAATCAGTTTGACCACGATGCCATTCTGATACCAAAGGAGACTTCATGGTTCGGGTACTATCCCGATGGGTCCTTTCAGACTGTTCTTCCGCCGCAGAAGGTAACCCTTCTAATGCTATTCATCTTCCCCACTAATACAGTTTAAAATGACAGTTGTTGCGTCATTCTGCAGACCAAGCTTTATACCGAGGACTGGATCGGTCTGAGATCGTTGGACGAAGCTGGAAAGGTTAAGTTCGTAAACGTGTCCGGGAATCATCTTCAGATATCGTATAGCGACATGAAGAAGTATATAGTGCCGTATTTGGGCGACAGAGCATCTGGTAAGCCTTTCAAGGCATATGTGAGGAACAAGCAGAGGAAGATTTGGCTGAAGAATGACGAGCTTCGTGAAGGAGAAGACGTTTGAGGAAGGAATTGGGGAAGGATATGTTGCTGTAACAGATTATAGTTGTATTTCCATTTTAATATTGCCACGTCAGATGGCTATCGCGCTATATTCTACTATAAATAATACAGCAGGGGGATTGTCTGGGGGATATCAGAAATATTGGGGAGTGGATTGTGGGGAGAGTTGGGGGCCTCTCATTAATCAAGCCTATCCAAGTTGTGTTTGAGAAATATAAGTGGTATTTTGGAGGGAAAATCTTATCAGCATCATCCTCTGCAAGTGCAGTGTCCGAATCTTTCTCGCGTCAATGGCTCCCGAGAGTTTGGGACTTCTTCACTGATCTGGTTGGTCTAGGAGATGATCAGCTTAGGCTCGTGCCTGAATTCTAATGGGATGCTTGTTACTTGCCTTGCAAGCCACGTAATGAAAGTTACATACTACGTATAAGGTATATGCATTTTGGGATGCCAAAATCAATCAAAACGTTCTGTACTTATGATAAATGTCACAAGAAAAAAAAAACATCAGCCAAACTATTTGTCCAAGAGAGACAAGATCCCTCATTTTTCCACATCATGTTATTACAGAGAATCTCCAAAAACAGAGACCAAAGATATGCCCTAATGTCCCACCAATGAAAACCATCTCCATTTTTATCTGACAAAACCCCTTTCTGTCTAATTGTTTTTCCTTTCGAAAAAAGGAATCACACTTCAGGAAACCGGCGTTTAGGATAGAGTCTTTGAGAGCTTTTTCTGCGACGTAGCCTGGCTCCAATCGCTTGGCTTGGTTCGCTTTCTTCTACATTTGACACAGAAGTAAAAAGACTTCACTGTAATGCCGAGACAACAAACCCTAGAATGATGCCTGAAAAAAGAGAGAAGGTCATTGATCGGCGATTGATCGCTTATTGTCGATTCGGCAAACTGGTACGTTGATGGTTTATTTGCAACAATTTGAGGATCTGTGGGCGCAGGTCTCAAATGTTTCTGAGGAGGTAGTCGAAAGTGCGTTCCGAGGTGGTTTGCAGACGGAGATCCGTGAAATGGTCGAAGTCTTAAAACCTCAGACCTTGGACAAGACAATTGAACTGGCGTTGAGGTTAGAGGGGCGTTCAATTTGTTCAGGAGGCAAATCGCATGGTAAGGAGAATCGTTTTCCTCGATATAATTCGAATTCGAATTCAAATTCGTTTCGCTCTATTTCTTCTGCATTGGGAGGTTCTGTTGAGAAGAAGGGAGAGTCTATCGCCTCGGTGGTAGACAGTTCCAATAAGGCTGTGACAGGAGATCGACGTCTGCCGTTCAGGAAACTTTCGGATCCTGAGGTGGAGGATCGTCGTAGAAAGGGATTATGTTTTAGATGTGATGAGCGATACTTTGTTGGTCATCGATGTAAGCAAAAGGAGCTGCAGGTTCTGATGGTGACAGAAGATACGGACGTTGACGGTGAATTTCAGGAATGTTTTGAGGAATTATCACCGGTAGTGGGGGATTTTGCAGCTCTGACTCTGCATTCGATGGTGGGATTAACATCACCGAAAACGATGAAGGTGAGGGGATGGATTGGGAATCAGTCGGTGGTGGTGCTAATAGATAGCGGCGCTTCTCATAATTTCTTATCTAAGGAATTATTGGGAGTGTTACCTATCAAATTGGCTGGTACGGTGGGATATGGAGTTTGTTTGGGTAATGGTTTGACAGTACAAAGTGCGGGTATATGTTGTGGGTTGGAGTTGACATTTCCAGAATACTCTTTGGTATCAGATTTTATACCATTGGAATTGGGCGGAGCTGATGTGATTTTGGGAATTCAATGGTTACAAACTTTGGGCAAAGTTCAATTTGATTTTGCCAAGCTCGAAATGAAATTTTCCGTTGATGATAAAATGATCAGGTTGGTGGGAGATCCGAATTTACATCAATCTCTAGTGGCTTTTAAGACTCTTCTCAAAACAATACGAGAAGGAGATCAAGGATTTTTGGTGGGATTTGGTTCTGTGGAAGTGGGGATTGTTGAGGAGAAATCACTACCAGAGGGATTGCAAGGGTTGTTGGATTCTTTTCGAGGAGTGTTTCGGGAACCAGAGGGTCTTCCTCCAATAAGGGGCCATGGGCATGGTATCCTCTTACAACAGAATACTAGTCCCATCAGTGTTCGTCCATATAGGTATCCTCACGCGCACAAAGAGGAAATTGAAAAGTTGGTTCGGAGCATGTTAAAGGCTGGCATCATTCAACCAAGCCAAAGTCCGTATTCGAGTCCGGTGCTGTTGGTAAAAAAAAAGGATGGAAGTTGGCGTTTTTGCGTTGACTATCGAGCTTTGAATCGGGCGACGATATCGGACAAATTCCCTATTCCAGTCATTGATCAGTTGTTAGATGAATTGAATGGAGCGGCAGTGTTTTCGAAACTGGACTTGCGAGCGGGATATCACCAAATTCGTATGAAGGAGGCAGATATTCCTAAGACTGCGTTTCGTACGCATGACGGTCACTACGAATTTCTTGTGATGCCGTTTGGATTAACCAATGCCCCGGCGACTTTTCAAGCTCTCATGAACGATGTTTTCCGTCCATTCTTAAGGCGCTTCGTCCTTGTTTTCTTTGATGATATTCTGGTGTACAGCTCTTCGATGTCGGATCATCTGGAACATTTAGCTGCGGTCTTGCATGTAATGCAGCAGCATCAACTATATGCTAACCAAAAGAAATGTTTGTTTGGTAAGAATCACGTTGAGTATTTGGGACATGTGATTTCGGAAGAGGGCGTCGCTACTGACCCCAGTAAGACAGTGGCGGTGAAAAATTGGCCAACTCCGAGGAATGTTAAGGAGTTACGGGGATTTCTCGGGTTGACAGGATATTATCGAAGATTTGTACGACATTACGGTTCGATTGCGAAGCCTTTGACAGATTTATTAAAGAAAGATGCTTTTGTTTGGTCAGAATCTGCTGAGATTGCTTTCGCAGAGTTGAAGAAGGCGATGATTTCAGCTCCGGTGTTGGCCCTTCCAAATTTCAATGATCACTTTGTGTTAGAGGCGGATGCTTCGGGATTTGGAATAGGTGCTGTGTTGATGCAGCATCAGCGTCCTATTGCTTTTTACAGTCATGGCCTATCTGATCGGGAAAAATTGAAGCCGATTTATGAGCGAGAGCTTATGGCGATTGTGTTGGCAGTACAACGGTGGCGACATTACTTGTTGGGTCAGAAGTTTCTGGTTTGTACTGACCAGCGTAGTCTGAAGTTCTTACTCGAACAGCGGGAAGTCAATATGGAATACCAAAAATGGTTATCCAAATTAATGGGGTATGACTTTGACATTGTATACAAGAAAGGCTCAGACAACAAGGTGGCAGATGGGTTGTCTCGGATGCCTTCTTTGGCAGCAGTTTCTGCTCATATGTTTGCTTTAACGGTTCCACATATAATACAATTGGAGGAGATTCGAAGAGAGATTGAGGTTGATGATGTTTTTGGCCCTGTGCTACAAAAATTGTTGGCTGGCCAAGAGGTAGTTGGTGCTTTTACACTGCGAGAAGGCACGTTGCTATACCGAGATCGTGTGGTTCTTTCCAAGACATCACGATTGATTCCTCTATTGTTACATGAGCTTCATGATGGGAAATTGGGTGGACACTCTGGTTTTCTTCGCACTTTGAAGCGGATTCAGGCGATTGTGTATTGGCCTGGGATGAAATCGGAGATCCAACATTACGTGGCTCGTTGTCCTGTTTGTCAAGTGCACAAATACTCCACGTTGGCTCCTGCTGGGTTATTGCAACCTTTACCTGTTCCTCAGCAGGTTTGGGAAGATATTTCTTTAGATTTCATTGAGGGGTTGCCGAAATCTTCAGGTTGCAATGTGATTCTGGTTGTTGTCGATCGGTTGAGCAAATATGCGCATTTTTTAGCGCTTCGCCATCCTTTTTCAGCTTTAGAGGTGGCTCGGGCATTTGTGAAAGATATTGTCAGGTTGCATGGGTTCCCTAAATCGATCGTTTCGGATCGAGATCGTATATTCTTAAGTCACTTTTGGTCGGAAACGTTTCGGTTGGCGGGGACGAAATTGAGGTACAGTACTGCATTTCACCCTCAAAGCGATGGACAAACGGAGGTTGTGAATCGGTGTTTGGAGACGTATTTACGCTGTTATGTGAGTGATCATCCTCGACAGTGGCTTAAGTTTTTGGATTGGGCTGAATTTTGGTATAATACCACTTTTCACTCTTCTTTGCAAACGACGCCATTTAAGGTGGTGTATGGGAGGGATCCACCTACTTTGGTTCGCTTTGTGGAGGGGTCTACGGTGAATTTCGAACTGGAGTCTGCTTTACGAGAGAGAGATGCGATGTTGGAGAGCATTAAACTGAATTTACATAAAGCACAGCAGAGGATGAAGCTTTATGCGGATAATTCTCGTAGAGATGTTAAGTTTCAAGTGGGTGACAGGGTTTATTTGAAGCTCCGACCTTATCGGCAAAGGTCGGTGATGACTCGAACATTTCAGAAACTTGCTGCTCGTTTTTTTGGGCCGTTTGAAGTGGTCGCTGCTGTGGGTTCGGTCGCGTATAAGCTCGCACTTCCTTCTTCTGCTCGAATTCACCCTGTTTTTCATGTTTCCCAATTGAAGAAGGCGGTCGGTACTGATTTACGTCCTCAGGCCCTTCCACAAAATCTGACGGCAGATTTGGAGTTGCATGTCGAACCAAGTTCTGTGGTCGACAGTCGTTATAATGTGCATGGGTGTTTGGAGGTGTTGATTCGGTGGAACACTTTGCCAGCACATGAGGCTACGTGGGAATTGGCTACTGATTTTGTTCAGCAATTTCCAAATTTTCAGCTTGAGGACAAGCTGAAACTTTTGGAAGGGGGTATTGGTAAGCCTTTCAAGGCATATGTGAGGAACAAGCAGAGGAAGATTTGGCTGAAGAATGACGAGCTTCGTGAAGGAGAAGACGTTTGAGGAAGGAATTGGGGAAGGATCTGTTGCTGTAACAGATTATAGTTGTATTTTCATTTTAATATTGCCACGTCAGATGGCTATAGCGCTATATTCTACTATAAATAATACAGCAGGGGGATTGTCTGGGGGATATCAGAAATATTGGGGAGTGGATTGTGGGGAGAGTTGGGGGCCTCTCATTAATCAAGCCTATCCAAGTTGTGTTTGAGAAATATAAGTGGTATTTTGGAGGGAAAATCTTATCAGCATCATCCTCTGCAAGTGCAGTGTCCGAATCTTTCTCGCGTCAATGGCTCCCGAGAGTTTGGGACTTCTTCACTGATCTGGTTGGTCTAGGAGATGATCAGCTTAGGCTCGTGCCTGAATTCTAATGGGATGCTTGTTACTTGCCTTGCAAGCCACGTAATGAAAGTTACATACTACGTATAAGGTATATGCATTTTGGGATGCCAAAATCAATCAAAACGTTCTGTACTTATGATAAATGTCACAAGAAAAAAAAAACATCAGCCAAACTATTTGTCCAAGAGAGACAAGATCCCTCATTTTTCCACATCATGTTATTACAGAGAATCTCCAAAAACAGAGACCAAAGATATGCCCTAATGTCCCACCAATGAAAACCATCTCCATTTTTATCTGACAAAACCCCTTTCTGTCTAATTGTTTTTCCTTTCGAAAAAAGGAATCACACTTCAGGAAACCGGCGTTTAGGATAGAGTCTTTGAGAGCTTTTTCTGCGACGTAGCCTGGCTCCAATCGCTTGGCTTGGTTCGCTTTCTTCTACATTTGACACAGAAGTAAAAAGACTTCACTGTAATGCCGAGACAACAAACCCTAGAATGATGCCTGAAAAAAGAGAGAAGGTCATTGATTCATTTGGAAGATTCGGCCTGGTGATGCTCGAGGTTACGGAGGACGATCTTGGCGAAGATCCGAGCCTCACGAGGCATGTTTGCAGCTGCAGTAGCGGACCGGAGGACTCTTGCCGCTCCAGCGTTCTGCATGAGACTCGCATGATGCATTGCATGTCGACCCCCCGGTATCGAGAACTGTACCAAATCATACGTAGGTTATAACCTCTACTCACACCATTAGATGAACCATAAAATTTCTTTTAACACGCCATCATACCTGGAAAAGCGCAAAGGCAGCACATGCTTTGAGTATAGATGAAGAATTCCGTAACATTGCTACGAATCTTCCTATTTCAGCACCACTGTGACAAGAAAATATACGAATCTTTATACCCTTTTGATCAAAATACAGGATATACGGGTTATAACGAAAATATCGACTTCTTCAGACCTGCATCTGAGGTGGCCGGCTTCTTGGATGCGAGCCCTCTCTGTAACTTGTGCCAGCGTAGTCGGGGCAGATGATAAGGCAGCAGCCGCAAATATCTGGGGATCCGAGAATGCCAAAACGAAAGCTTCAACGTGCTTCAGAGCCATCCTTCTCGCCCCATCTAAGCTCACACTCTTCGACGTGCTTTCTGACGATGCCCCTACCAGTGCAAATTCATCCATCCTGTACCGATATTCGGATCTTCCTTTTAAGATTTCTCGGAGAAACTAAGCGTAAGTTAATGGGCATGTAATTTATAAGGCGGTTTACCTTCCATCAAACATGTATGCCAATGCTAATGCTGCCATGAAACGTGCCATTTTTGACACAGAGGAAGAACACAAGTGGACAAGAGCTGGAACTCCCCCTTCTTCCACGATTCGAAGAGCATTACCAGGATTAAAAGCAAGATTCCACAGAGCTCCTGCAGCAGTTTCATGTACATCCTGGAAGATAAAGATACATAAGATCAGATTCCATAAGTCTGAGAAACTTTCTTACACACGAGGAAGATAAAGATACATAAGCAAGAAGGGCACAAAAGATGTAAAAAAACTAAAAAATAAAAATAATCACCTCAGCTTCCGACCGTGCCAGAGCAATTAGAGGTGGAACACCGCCTTCACGTCCGATTGCAATGCTGATAGGATAAAAAAAAAGTTAAAGAGCAATTATTATCGAGGTATTAGATTATGCAGAAGACTTCTCAAAGTAATGGCACGTGAAATGTAAATCTATGCCCACGGATGAAAATGGATTCAGATTGCTTGGACCTGTTTCCTTCTGATACCGACAATCCCCATAGAGCGCCAGCCGCCCTCTCTTGAAGACCCGTGGATGCATTTGAACATGACTGAGCAAGCGCCACCTATACAATCGGAAAATTGATCAATGCCTGAAGATACATCTGAACTCGCAATCATAAACAATGCAATCAGCGCTCAACCATACAGCTGAACATAGAAGTAAAAGCTTAGATTCTTTGTTACGAGTTACCACAGAGCCCATAGAAGATTAAGCTACCTTATTAGCAGTAAGTTGTACATGTTAAACTTAGAACAGGAAGAATATAGGGACATTGTACGAGAAAATGATAAAAGAAAAGGAAGCATGTCCATTTTATTGGATCCACACCGTTAGCCGGAGAAATAATACCGAACTTCAAAAATGGTAAAAAGAAAATGTGAATAAAGACAGACAGAAAGCATAGTCTATGTAAGTGGAGACATACCAATGCTTCAACACCACCAGCTGCAGCAATGGATTCCCGATTTTTGTCATCGAATGACAAATTCCATAAGGCACCAGCAGCTTCCTGTCTAACACCTTCGTGGGCCGATTGTGTAAGCTGAACAAGGGCTTCTAGTGCACCTGCCTCTTGCCCAACTGCAGCATTGTTATTGTTGCTATCACCATGAGCAGCTAAGTTAGCCAAAGCACGAGCAGCCTGGGAAGATTATAATCATTGGACCACAACCTCAGCGACTCAAATCACACTTTGCAACAGAGAATCGATAGCGTAAAGAGTATTTAATGATGAAGAGGAAATAAATACCTGTTCTTGCACCCCCTCATACTTGCAGTTGCGAGCCAGCATCACCAGGGCATGTACACCTCCTGCCATAGCAACTTCCATGCTGCACTTGTCATCCGCTGCCAAATTTGCTAATGCCCCAGCAGCCCTTTCCTGATTACACCCCCAAAGGCAAAATCCATCCATTTAAAGGAATTCCACAAAAAAAAAAAAGGAAAAAGCATAATGTGGGAGAAAGAGAAATGGGTACCAGGACTCCATCAAAACCATTTGGCCATCTGAATATAAGATCGACTAAAGCCTTCACTCCTCCAGCCTGAGCAATAGCATTCTGATATAGAAATAACGAAGAAACAACAATGTGGGTCATAAAGTTTGTTAATTTATAAATAAAGATAGCAAGAATAAGTACTTACCTTATGCTCTTCTCCGACAGAGAGATTCCATAAACCACCGGCAGCCTCCTCAGCCACAAGTCTGTTCATGGACCTTGCCAAAGTAGCAAGTACACTTATTCCCCCTTCTTCAGCAACAGCCTTTGCAACACTAGCATTTACCGACAAGTTTGCAATAGCCTAAAATATTTGGCAAAAAGGAAATACATTACGCCACATTAGGGAAGGACAAAAAGACGAAAAACCTAAAGAAGATAACCGTAAACACCTTTGCTGCTTCTGACTGAAGCCCTTCTCGCCATGATTTGGCAAGGTCGAGGAGGATACGGATCCCTCCATCACGCATAACAGCTTCAGCCCTTCCACCGTCTATACTAGCATTCTCATCGTCGATAACCACGAAAGTTGCAAGCCCTGTCGCTGCCCTCTCTTGTACATCCTCTTGTGAGCTCTGCATTAAACTGAGCAGTAACGGAGCCCCCTGATTCAGCCAGAAATGATCCAATCCTTGCGGATTGCTCTCCGCAGTTCGTAGAAGCGTATGAGAAAGGACCCATTCAAACCACTGAACAATTTCGTCGATGCTTTTATCTTTGGTTGTCAAGTTTCTCCAGTAAGAAAATACATCACTTGCCTTCTTTACAGTATCGGAAAATATAGAAGCTATCTCATCAAAAATATTAGTAAACAGAGCTAGTAAGACTTTCCCTTTGAATCGATTGGCGCAAAAACTCGTATCCTCTTCGAGGAAAGGACAATTCAAAGCACACAAAACTTTCAAGTTCTGGGATGATGTCAAAAGTCTCGAAACTGCGGTAGGACCAATGTCAGTCCTTGAAACGTCCAAACCAGTCAATTTCGGGAGCTTATGCCACTTATTCGATGCAACTGACCACTTTATATTAGACGTCCCAGCAACAGAGAGGTAGTGAATCGATACCACTTTTCCAAGTGCATCCTCATCAATGTTAAGGCAATCTAAGAATCCGAGATCACTGAGCTGAGGGCAATGATTAGCCAAAGCTTCTATCGCCTCAGAAGTGATATCTCTTATTCCAGAAAGCCGTAGCTTTTTAAGTTTCGGACAGCAAAAGGCTACGGCCCTTATGGCATCGCTTGTGATCCTCTCGCAAAAGTCTGGCCCAAGTTGGAGACTCTCAAGTGCCTCATGGCGGGCAGCAATCATTGACAATGTAGCATCTGTGATCTTCCTGCAATAGTCGCCACTTATTTCGAGCAGATTTCTCGCTTTGAGATGTATAATGGCATCAGCAGAATCAACGCCACGAAACCTAAGCTTCTGAAGATTAGAACAACGAGATGCAAGAGAAGCGGCTGTGGAAATGTCAAACTTGTGAGCACGAAGATCGAGCGAATTCCATAAACAGGAGGAAGAACCAAGGCCCCTCCATGTCCTACAAGTGGATGCTAAGCTCGCTCTATCGCGGTAATTCAGACGGGTAAAGAGCTGAAGCACTGTGTCATAAGGCAAGCATGTCCTGTCCACAAACCCATTAGGCTCGGGAACTGAATCCTCATCGTTTGTCTCGGGATAACTTGGCAAAACGACCTTATCCTTTCCCTTTGCTTCCACTTTTTGCCTCAGCCTACGACTCATATCCTGATCAAGATATATACACTCTACTATGACAATACTCCTGCAGCTAAAACCTAAATTCTATAAAAGCATAGACCCAAAATCAACCAACTTGCTTATATATCCCAACCCTGACCACCAAACACTCAAAAGGGAATAATCACAGGACAATACAGATCCTCATCAACCACAGAAGATCCTAGTCTTCGAACAAGAAAGAGATCACTTCACGGGCAAGTCCAGATTTCGACAATCTAGCAATCCGATGGCTCTGAAACGGAAAACCCGACAAACCTACGCAATCAACGGCACATTGCACGATACATACGAAGCCAATTCAGCGGCCGGGTCAGCGGAGAACGCTCGGGGGCTTTGACGCAAAAACCCTCGAATAGGAAGGAACAGAAGCTTTGCGGGATTAGACAAGCAAATCACGGTCCTTTCTAATCGATTAGCATTGGCATAAATTCGAACGGGCAAAGGGAGGAAGAAGATGACAAAGTGAGAGAGATAGAGAGTGATGGGCGGAGAGGGTTCAGGCGAAAGCGAAGCTGGACAAGAAAGCCAAACCCTTTCCAAGTCATCCGTCGAACACTCTTCCCTGAAACTTCTCTTCCCGTTTCTTACGGGAGAGAGAGAGAGAGAGAGAGAGAGAGAGAGAGAGAGAGAGGAATTGAGAGAGAAGAATTGCAGAATCCGGGTCGGGGCTGAGAGAGAGAGAGAGAGAGAGAGAGAGAGGATGGTGTGAAATTACAACTCATATCAATCACCTCCTTTGCACGGTACATTTATATTAGCCCCCGCAAGATCTTCCTCCTCCTCTGATTAAAAATATATAATACCTTTTTTTTTTTTACCAAAATTACAAATTTTACATAATCGAAATTCATTTATCTCTTAAAACAGCTCATGATTTCGTGTTCCTTCAAATACTTTCTTTCTTGGTCTCGAAGCTATCCTCTCATCCCTCAGCCTTAAATCGATATTGATTATGAATTTTCACGAGTTTTAAAAGTAATCGTGATAACTAATAGGTTATCATTACTATTTCTCAAAAACCAAAGGGAAAAAATGTTGTTATTATAATTATAATAATAATAATTATTATTATAATTATTTCTCGTAATCCGACAACCACTAGGTTTTTAGTTTTGTTTAAGATAAAACATAAGAAAATATCACTATCCTTTTTAGGAAGACATTGGAGGAGTCGTGATAAATGTTTCTATATGCATAGCCATTTCATTATAATTCTGATTTTGTAGTTCTTGCTCTTACGGATAAATTAAAGAATCCGAATACTGTTATAGAAGGAATCTAATAAGTAAGAAAGATATTTTAGAAATAAGAGGAAAAATACTGTTTCTTGTTTCTATATATGTAATACAATATAAATACAAATATCTGTATAGTCATAAATTGTATGGCTAGTGAATCCCATAATAATAATAATAATAATAATAATAATAAAACATTTTTCTTTTGAAAGAATTTGACTGTTGCAGGGAGAAAGAGAGCTGACAGTGTTCAAAGAAACAGAAGGGGTGTTCGTGTTCGGAATTCGGACAGAAACAAAAGCCACATAAAAACACACACACACACACACACTCGAAACGTGATCGAAGCAACAAACAAATGCTGTAAACAAAGAAAGGAAATTTAAAAAAAAAAAAAAAAAAAGGAGGAGACTTTGCATGATCTTTCCTTCCCCTGAATACCAATCCTTCAGCTCTCTGGGTGTAATGTAACTTCCCACCGCCATGAAAACGCTAAACAGGCACACACTCTTTGTGTATATGTCAGAAAAAAAAAGATTAGTTTTTTATTTGTAAGCTCTTGAAGCTGTGCAGATCAGAATTCCATGGAAGGAGCTTGTATATATTACCTGGAGTTTTAAGTGCAAATGACGTCGGAGTAAAACCCTATTGTTCTCCTCTGGCAATTCTGGATGCTGAGTAACTCCACATCGAAAACTTCAAACTGCTTCGAGCTGAAAAACGTCGATGGACCCACCTAGTTTGAGCCAAAGGGTAGCCATTTTCGGACGACTTAGACCAATCAAAGCAAATTACAGATTTTTCGTTACGGTTTCTGATGTCTTAAAACAGGTGTAGCTGAGGCTGAAGCTTCCCTTTTAGATCAATGGATTCCATATCAGATGGTTAAGTTTCGTTTCCCGGAAATCATTTTCCGCTGTGATGTACGCTAAAGATTAGCAAACCACGCAACATGGACGATGAAGAACTAACCGGAGGTCCCAGTTCTGGAGGGATGATGATCCTTCTTCTACCACCGGGTCTCATTTCACGAATTCCCATCTCAAATCCTGCAAACATCATTGTCCATTCTCAACCGAAGAAATTATTGTCTGTTCCTTTTCAGGACAAACGTTTCTCTAACATTCTGATGGTACTTGTGCGAGAACGATAGCTTTACTTGCCTGGAACAAGTGCATTGTTGCCCAGTCGGATCCTAGCAGGAGAACCCTGTAAATAGGTGCTATCTATTCGCCTTCCTGACTCATTGTACCCAATATAATGAAAAACCACCTGCCAAATGCCGTACAGTCAAAGGCCTTGTTCATGTCCGGTAATTTCTTGTAATCATCGTGTTAAGATGCACAAAAGTTTTATAAACGGCAAGACCCCATCTCATAAGTGGTAAGCTTCAGGTCAGAGATGTTGGCTATGCTCGAATACTAAGCCTTGCAAAGAAACTCGTTTGAACAAACTCGAAAAAAAATAAAGACTTGAAATTAAGAACCTGCTGACCATCTTTTGGGCAATCACCTTTACCGACTTCGAAATCCCGATATATGAGGCCGGAATCACACTTCACATAATTATCTGGAGTCACTACCTTCACCTCAAAACCTGCACTACCACAGCAAAATATAACATCAACAGGGCATTAAAAGTTTGATACTCTTTTGGAGGATTGGGCTCGAGAAGCGGTTTTAGGACATAAACCTTCTCTAATGAAGTTAGGAAATTCCTCCGGAGCATTGTTCTCTCTCTGTATTCTTTTGTTCTGTTCTAACAGCCGCCTCTCGTCATACGGGTTCTTAGCCTTTGTCTTTGCGGACGAGGATAAAGCGGGAAACAAGAATGGAGAAACCAAAACAGAAGCAAGGATTCTCCGGCTCAAACTAGGCTGAGAAGACGGACAGGACTCCTTCTCCAACAGGACACTGCATTCAGATCTCATTAAACTAAACAACCAGCACAGAGGGATCTCTTAAACTACACTGGAGAAACAAAATAAAGCCAAGATAATCCCACGAAGCAGAATACCTTTGATGTTTTGGTTTCTCACTTGAGGAACAACAACATATCAAGCTTTTAACTTGGTATGAAGGAATTCTTCTACCTGCATGGAGTGTATATAAGCACGAAGGTGTACACTCAGTTCCCTACTGAGAAGCATTACCACCTAAGACCTAAAACACATTGATTGAAGACGATGATACTCTTATGACCGCTATTGCCCATAATTTCCGTAATCACAACGAGAATATATACTCAAGAACAATGCCCATGTAACTATGAATTACCAAGATTACTGGGCGGAAATTAGCGTCGCAGAATTCTAGCCGTCGATGGCGGAAAACCGTTCCAAAAGCATAAATGAACAAGTTCAGATACATATATATATGTGTGTGTATATATAGAGAGAGAGAGAGACAGAGAAAGAGAGAGGGGACTCACTGGAAAATGATGGCGTGGGAGGGAGAGAGGCTGAGGAAATTGTAACCATGGCTTCTATCTCCGGCGATGCCTGCGACCGAGAGCGAGAATATTATCCTGCGTTTATTTCATGGATAATATCATATAACTCCGTCTATATTTTCATTTATTTTATTTTAGTCCCAATATTCTTATAACTTCCCCTTTTTGTTTGATCAGAGATTTTCATTTCGACCCCAAACTTTTGTCTGAGTAGTAATCACACCCTGGTTTGGATTCTCGTGAGTTAACAATAATAACCAAAACAAATAAAAGATAACAGAGAATCAACAGAGAACTATTACAAAAAGAAAACTTTCATATCATGGAATTTCTGTTCTAAGAAGAAAATTTGCATTTATTTCAACAAAAACACAATAAAAAGTTAACAGAGAGAATCAACCACCACCCATTGAATTCAAGCTTTTGATTTCCCACTGTCGTCTGAAATGGCTACCAATAATTCCTCTCGGGTAGTTTAAAGGACGAGTGTTTGTCTCTGAAGCCTTACCTGTTCCCGGAACTCGGCTATGAACTCGCCTGCTTTTCTATCCACCTCGTTAAAGTCAGTCCCAGCATTGGCCATGATTCCACGATCACTTTCTTCCTCTATGCTTACTTGAGTTTGCTAAGCTTCATTCTCTTCTTGTTCCATGTCCTAATGCATCATAGTCTGGCCATGTTTTTCCAAGCTTGTTTCATTTGATACATCAACTTGTCTGATTCTCGATTTCGTTCTTCCCTCAGCTTCTGCCCATCCATCAGACCATTCCCTCTCTCCATTTCTATTTTTGGCAGATCGACCTGATCTAACGGTCCTAACAGATTCGCGAAATTTCTTGTCTTGGTCATAACCTTCTGCTCCTACCCTCTTTCCTGAATCACTCCTCAACTTTCCTCTAAGGTTGTTAGGATCCTCCTCCCAGCTTTTCCGGACAGTGTCCTCTTACAAACTGCCGCAACTATTTTGCAGAGGACAATGTCCGGTCGGGGAATCCTAACTGCTTATGGGAGGTGACAGTGAGACAGAATCGGGCGGGTAAGCTTTTGCGAGAACTTTTCCATTTTCTGAAATCTCCGCCAGTTTATTTTAATGATCTAGATCCCAGATTCTTTCCTAGTGAGGAAAAGAACCCCCATCCAACTCCTCTTCAACGTTTCTGCTTCCTTCCTCCGAAAACAGAGAACCCCCGCTACAATGCCGAGAATGAGACCAGCGCTTACAAGTAAGTATCATCAGTGACAGAGTTTGGTGACGGTGATACGGAAAGGTATGGTGATCTAGACCGTGATGACCCATGGAGATTCTCTTCCTTAGCCAATTCCTCCATTTCGAATTTAATGACTCCGCTGAGACAGAATGCGAAGGCGAAGGCAAAATCTATTCTGACTCCTGAGTATGTGAAACAAAACTGGCATGCGAAGACGAACACAAGGTAGACCAGAAAGATCCTGATTTGAGGGTCTTGAACGATCATAAACTGGAAGAGGGTTAAAATTTGAAGAATAAGTGCCACCTCTCAAATCTTCTCTCACTGCCATCCCCTGGGATCTTGAATCATGTGGAACAGGTGAAGATGAAACCCTAACCTCATCAAACTTTTCCTCCAATTCCGCAGAACCAAAGTCCTGCCTCACAGCTCCAACATAGTTCCCAGAACAAACAGTTACATTCAGAAGCTTGAGTCTCTCTCAAAACTGACCTTAAACTCCTAACTGGCAAGCCCAACGGCTTGTGTTTGGTTGGTGTAGACGTCAAGACCATAAAGATGGTTGAGCAACTACAACCTTAGATCTTCCCTGAAAATACTGCGGATTCCAAGCTTGCACTTGAATTTTTTACCATATTCAAGCGAATCTTCTATTTGGCTTTCAACAACAGACGACCCAGAAAGTTGAAACACCCACTTTAATCGAACGACGGTCATTCCTCTCGTCAAACTCAGTCTCGTAATCGTAAAAAGGAGGAAACTTGGAACGTTTTAGAAAGGTAAGACAGCGGAGACTCATCAACATTACTTATCCGCAATTGCAAATCGACTCCTGAATCCACAGTTCTAAGGCTAAATAGACCATAAGACGCGGCAATGCCGAAGAAGAGGATGTAAATCAGTTCCCAGAACTTGGCGGACACAATTTCCCCGACGAAATCGAGCGCTTGAGAAGAGAACAACGGCAGTGCGAGGAGAAACAGAGCGAAGAAGACGGACTTACAGAGGAAGCGGCTGGTGCATGAAGACCGCGACGGCGGTTAGGCGTTGGAGACAGGCGGCGAGTCTCGCCGGATACCGACGGTTGGGGTGCGGATTCGGGGACGCCATTGATGAGTTCGCCAGGGCTTCGACCACAAATAAAAAAGGGTGGAGGAAAGTGAAATGGGAATTAGGGATTTAAACGGTTGGGAGAAGAATGACCGTTGGCGAAAATTACGGAATTGACCTCGAACGTCTTTAGTTATTACAAGGCAGCCATCGTGATCGTGACCGTTGGCACTCGTTGTCCACTAAATCTATATATTTTTTCATGTGAATCTCTTTTACTTGTCTACGTAGTTGACAAAACAGTACCGGATTTTCTCTGACACCGATTACTTGCAGAGGAACCAATCTTTTGACCTTTAATACCATATCTTATATATATATTCTGCAATAGATTCGATACGTCAAGTGAAACCCTAAAGAACAAGAACGGTTCCGTACTTGCTTTCGCTCCGGCTCTTACTAATATCATCTTTACATTCAGAAAAAAAAACGTTGCCTTTTCTCCTTAAACCTAACACGACTCTATCAAGAAACATTATAAGCAGGAGGAGGAAAAGAAAACCCTAAACATAAGAAACCGAAAAATTCTCCTCCTTAAAGATATTGTGCATGGAATCATCTCCTAGACATGCCAAGGCAAAGCTAATGATACTACTCTACCAAAAAACCCCAAAAAAAAAAACAACCCTAGTGTGATCCTGCGGCCGGCCTTTGATGAAGACGAAGTGACGCCCACGGGTTAGCCGGATTAGGCCGCTGAGGGCTCGGTCCGACGTCACGGGCAGAGGAGGGCGAGGACGACGACACGCGCTCGCAGGACGGGCACATGGTCAGAGTGGTGGGAGGGTTCATGTGCATGTAGAGATGCGGCGAGAGCTTCAAAGCCCTAAGCTCCGACACCTCTTTCTGCAGCCTCCGGTTCTCGCTCGTCAGATTCTCGCAGCATCTCTTCAAGTACTCGCAGTCCACCTCCGTTTGCTTCAGCTTCGTCCTATATACACACGCACGCATATACATGCACACGTCCATACAACGTTAAAGTCCAAAAGCGGTAATAAATATTCCAGAATGAGGGGGGCACATGTGAACAAGCAGAGCAAGTTGCAGAGGGAAAAGTCATTATAGGACGCGAACTTGGGGATGAAATGAAACAGCGAAAGAAACAACAGGATCGTTGGGAAATCTTTTTGGGCCATAAAAGGACAATAATCTCCCCATCATGGCAATTACTGAGGTTTTCTGACATATCTATGATATTCCAAAAATACCCCTGGATGCGGTAGAGAATTACGCACCTTGCCCTCCTGTTCTGGAACCACACCTCCACTTGCCTCGGCCTCAGGTTCAACTGTTTCGCCAGCGCCAGCTTTTGCTTCTTCAAGAGTGTGAATAAATAAATACGCACATCAAAACCAAATGTAAAAAAGCCCATACGAAACGGCGGAAATTACGGAAATGCCACCGACCGGGTTGAGAGTGCTGTATTCCTTGAAAGTCTCTTCGAGGACAAGAGACTGTTCCTTCGATAGCCGGAGCTTCTTCCTCGACCCGTCGCCGTTTCCGCCGTCTTCGTCATCGCTGCCGCGAGAACACGAAGCTCTCTCGGCGTCGATGTCGTCGGCGGCGCCGGGCTTGTCGCTCCTCTTGCCGCTGGAGCTGGAGACGGTGCTGTTTGGGGACGATGCACCGCCGTCTTCCTCCACGTCCCCCACCCCCGCCGTCGCCGACGCCGACGGAGCTCTGTTCACGTCTATGCCTCTCGGAAACGATGATCTCGCCTCCAAGACTCTGTCTGCAACCATGCATGATATTTTATAGATGCTTCTCTTGCCATTTATGCACAGATCACGAAGTGAGGATTGCATGTGAACACTTCAAGATCATTTTCAGATACCAGATGTGAACCACGCGCAAGACAGGAAAAAAGAGAGTACGTAACTTCCTTAACTACGGACAAAAAATAGAGCTTGGATCTATGTTCTGCATTATTGATACGATGGGATCTAAAGCATGGAGAAACGGGTTTCAATGATTGTTTGATATTTTCAGATCCATGCAATCTCGAGAAGAAATTTGAGTAGATCTTGAAAGAGAACAGAAACCTTAGCCATAGTTGAGAACGCGCACATTATGGTTGATGGTAGATCATTGAAAAAACGAAAACATAATTCAGACATTCCGACAATATCATGCTCAATAACGAGAGAGAAAAAAGGAATTACCAGAGGATTGGAAGAGATGAGTCCAAGAGTTGTGAATCTTCTGGGAATGGCTGTGATGGCTCTGCATGTGAGGAGAAGAAGAAGCCATAGGCATGAGCTTCAGACTCAAAGATGGCTCCTTCTGTTGAGGAAACCCAGAACTAAGGCTCAGCCCCAAACCTAAACTCAACCCATCATCTCTTCCGGCCATTCTCACCGATCAGAATACCTTCCCTCTTCTTCTGGCTTCACAAAATTTTCCCGAGAGTAAATGCCTTCGCTTTCACTCTCTCTCTAGAACCAGACGGTGTTGTGGCCACTGCCTCTACAAATGTGCAGCAGTACAGTTCAAAGATATGTCTTTATATACACAGTTTTAGAGAGAGAGAGAGAGGGGAGAGAGACATAGGGTGTGGGGGCTGGGGGTCTCAATGATGACTCTTGTCAGAGAGACCCCTGTTATCTCAATGATGATATATACTGCAAACCTCTTTCCTTTTTTAACTTAACCACGGTTAGGGAGAAGACCTCTGGTTTGTTAAATTAACTCCATTTCAGTTTACCACCCCGGTCAAAAATTAATGTGGAAACCATCTTCGTTTCCCTTTTGCGTTTTTCTTACAAAGCTCTTTAAATGCAAACAACCAAAATATCCTTAGCACGTTCCAAAGGTCAAAGTATGTAACTCAGCGAAAACTTAATTACTACGAGATTTTCCAATGGATACTGTCATTTATTACATGACAAATGGGTGGGTTTTCTTTCCTTGAACTTTGAAGTAAACTCATTTATATATATATATATATAAAGACAGTGTTAGGAGGAGGGGCTTCGGCTTCGAAAGCGGCTTTCTCGACCGTTGACCGTTGACCACACGAGAGAGAAGGTGCCTAAAAAGCTGCGGCTGAAACAGACCAGACAGTGCAATCCACGCGCGGAGGAAAATAATAATAATCATCATAAGATGATGATGCTGGTGATGATGATGATGATGATGACGCCTTATTATTATCACCATTCATGTCACATGCCCTGAACATGCGGGCCCCGCATAAATCCAGACAACCTTTTTCAGCTTTTGAAATCCCGTAATATAATAATATCGTGAATTTATTCGAATTAATTAGCATATTACCAAAACCCATGACATAGTCCCACTCCCAACGCAAACTTAAATGCGGTGATAACTGTAGGATGGGATGCGACTAGAATTTCAAGTTATAAGATATGTTGAGGAATTCCATTTAATACAATAAAATATTTTTTAAAATCATTTCAATTTTTTTTTATCATTTTATCAAAATACGTAGTAACAAATTTGAAGAAAAATATATTTGAAGAATATTAAAATATGTGTACACAAAACACTAATACATTTTAACCCATAAGCCTTGATGAAACTCCACAGAATTCAACAGTATTTTTTGTCAATTTCCCTGACAATATTTACAAATCGATGATCTTGAGAGACGGTGATACGAACGGGACAAAATAACGCAGCTTGGGTAAGGTGGTATAACACACGCGCGAGTGGGCGCGTGATGGGAAAGATGAGGAGCGAGGGGGGCGGTGGGCTCAAAGAGGGTATGGTGGTCAGGAGGGGCAGAGATACGGTGTCGTATTGATAGGTTACAGAAGAGCCAATCATACATATCACTGCATGGAGTCACCTCTGAACCCAACATGCATGCATGCATGCATGCATTCCCTCCTCTAATTAAATTCCTAAATTAAATGTATCATCATTTACTGTCCCTTGTTGATCAAAATACAAAAAAGTAAATTCGGAGTTTTACCATTAATTTCACCGGTCAAAATATAAAACGCTTTATTAAAATTGAATTGATGGATATCTTACTTAAATTACTGATTAATTTCTTTAAATTCCGGATTAATGCATCATTAACGTGCCTCCAGTTTTTTCAAGAGTAACAGACAAGACAGGACAGGTCAGGTCATGTCGGGTTTTGTTAGTTCAATTTAAACGCACCATATTTCACGAGAGAGTCAGCAGCGTTTAAATGCTAATGCCATCATTACTCTGCCCTCCATATTTTTCGTTACACAGCCCAAAGGTAATTTGATTAATTACGAGAGATTAACTAGTCCTCACCTTATAAATTTATTGCAAATAAACATTCTGTTTATGGACAAATAAAAGCATTTAGAAGATAATCTTTCTAAATATTTTCAGTCATCGTGAGCGTTAATTAATTTCCCTATATGTATAATGTAGTATTTAACGGTGGTGATAATCTAAATCATGATTAACGGATAAGTAAACCAGGATTAGCTGTTAGATCGTGAATTTGGTGGGAGGGTCCAGATCTCAATTCGATCATATAATCAATTACTTGTTATCATTGTACAATGAGAGGAGGAAATCTTAACACGTGCTTGCTGCATGCAGAATGCGAGAAAACGACCCTTCGTTTCTCTTCATGGCTTTTTTTTTCCTTATAATTTAAATTTCTTTAATAGAAATACATAAAATATATTCTGACTGGGATTTAGCACGTCTAAAAAGGGTGGAAAAAGAATAGCTGTTTCCAAGTCCTATCTTAGGAATTAGGATTAAGGATTGCTAAATAAATAAATAAATATATATATTTGTGCGTGTGTGTGTGTTTCTGTGTATATAAGTATTATATATATATATATATTCGGTGAAGGTGATATAATAATAAACTACCTTGTGGGATATAGGTACACTGAATTTTCTTATAAATCACCATCACCGACTCACTGTCCATGCACAAGTGTTCCAAAATATCGCACCAAAATTTAATTTTGGTCCGACCAGATATTCGTATGATCGTAATCGTTGTCACTTGTAAGGATTCGAAGGGAATAATTGATGAATTTAAGTGGGTGCACATTTGGAATATATATATATTTTTAATAAAAAAAAAAAAAGAGAATAAGAACAACAAGAGAGAGTGGACGTCACGTGGGGAGACACGGGGTTCACGTGCAATATCACGTGGGAGGTTGTCGACGTGGCATCACGTGGTCCCCAGAGACCACACTCGTGCGGTGTAATGTTGTCCCTCCACTGCAAGTCATCCACTTGTCTCTGCAAATCATTGGATACCCTCTTTTACTCTCCCCACCTCAGACGCGCTACGCCACACGCGTGGAGCTCACGTCCTCTAGACAGTGATGTACACGCGATTCGTTCGCGACAACTATTTCTCCGTCATGATTTTGTTTTCCGGATCAAAATTTCTTTTGTGAATCATGAAATCATTAGCATAAAGGTCATCATATATTTTCGGTGTTATATATATATATATATACATACACACACACATACATATATGCGTTGGTATGATGATTGAGTTTTTTGGTGTAATTTTTATTTTTTTGGGTGCAAGTTGCCAAGTATGATGATTGAGTTTTCTTCAGGTAAAGTTTATTCATATCACCTGCGATTCAACCAGCTAAGAAGGGTATCCAATGGCGACCGACCGCCAACCCCATGCTTGGCCAAATTAAGAACTATGTAAGATTATGAAGAATGATTATACAATAATTAGCGGATCATTATAATTAAACATCGTTCATGTAATAATAATTAAATATGGACTTTAGGGTTAGATGGTTTGATAATAATAAAAAAAATCAGGCCCCACGTGTGTGTGTCCATGCATGTGCAGAAAAGCTCACTCCATGTGTTATGCTTCTAATTTCCTAGATTCGGTTTCATATGCAATCAACCGACATTATCTCCACCATGTCCCCATCTTTTCCGGGACACATAATAAGAATCCATTTATTTTATGGGTTATATATATCATTAGCAATATTTTGAATTCGTTTATTATAATTTATGACTCGCTAAATATCAGTTAAACACATATACTTTCTATTGTTCGGCTATTTAAAAATATCACTTCTTTATATTTTTTAAAAAATGTTAAATAAAGATGTTAAATATTTCCGTAATTAAATTAAATTTGTGATTACTAAATTTATTAGTGTCCCAATTACAATTTTTTTTTGGATCCGCCATTGCAAATATGTCTATATATATATATATAGTTCTAGATGTGCGTGTGTATATTTGCATATAACTAAACCACACTAGAATAACCAAAATCTTGAAATAAAAAAACCCAACCATATACAACTAATTAACTAAATAAGTTTGTGAAGACTTGAATTCGGGTGCCGTACGCGTCATGAAGATTCTTCATAAGTGGCATATCGGGGTTTCGAAGTGTTATATTTAAAAACAAAGAACAAAACCTTTTTTAAAATATAAAAGATTATACATGCAGTTGGACATTAATTATAAAATATATTTCAACAAAAAAAAAAACATTATAAAATTTATGACTTTAAGACAGTATGTGTGTCCGTTGAAGAGAAACGGACGTTTTCTTTTAATATATGCGCATCGTGATTTAAACTAAAATCGATTTTTATAAAAACACAATTAATTTAAAATCTTGAAATTGAATCTAATAACTTTTATAATGGGGATAATTTTTTATAAAGAACCGTAGGGCATATGATATGACTTTAGAGTGGACGCACATATTGGTTAAACCAACGAGGAAGTGAACGCCACGTGACCGAGAGGTGTAAAGAAGGATGGATGGGTTGAGGACCGAGGGAGGGAGGACAGAGAGTCACGTGAGGGTCACGTGATGGATGATTAAGGTGCGAAGAAAAAGGAAGGACACGTGGCCCTACCTATCGTTCACGCCGGCGCGTGTCTCTATGTCCCTCTCTCACCGGACACCCGTTTATCTCCCAATCATTTGATGGGATTTGCCATTCGAAATCACCATAACTCCCCCTCTATGCTAACATTAGGTCGTTTAATTTAGAGTTGTAAATTGGGATAATAACCAAATAAACGATCCATTTCGAAAAATATATAATTACAAGCGAATTGAATTTTGTATAGAAATCTAAAAATATCTATTTTTTAAAAAGAAAAAAATTTGAATCCAGACTCCCTATAGAAGTTAAATATATCACTCGCCCCAATAAGTAAAATATCCTCTCACTAACATAAATATTTAAAAAAAAAATTCTTTTCTATTTTTGTGTAAAAAATGTAAAATGTACCAACTATTGTCGATGGTTAAATTTATGTCATTCTATTATCTTAACATTAAATTCAATGACAAATATTACAATTTAAAATTCGAATTGAATAATTATATTGTTAAATATAAATAATTATTTATATATTTTTAAATATGTTTCGAGTGTAATCACATGCCAAATTTTAGCGATACCATGTTATATATAATTATCACATAACAGTTATATATGTATATATACACACATATATATATATGCTTGGTGAAGCAAAGACGGCTACTTACCATTTGGATCATGAAATGATTGAGCCCATCTAATATCTCTGTGAGGGAGTTTGGGTTTTGACGGAGACAGATTCTGCCACATGTTTTGGGCCCTTTTAGGCCCATTTATATAACCCAAGGAGCTTCATAATGGGCTTCTTGGCAGATGTAAATCGAACCGTTCTTCGGAGATTCGCTTTTAAGTTTTGAATGGTCAATTTATTTCTTTTGGGATTGCTTCCATGGATTGGAATCATTGGATACAAAAAAATAACATTTGTGATAAATAAATACGATATTTTCGTTTTTAAAATTATGGAAATATATGTTATAACATGAGTTCGGTCCGAATCTAAAAGAAAATTAGAAAACTTCCTTCAAAAAACAAAATCCAGAATTTCCATTTGTGTGCATTTAGGATCGAAGTATGCAAAGCAGTGGGCGCAAAGAGAGCAACGTAGCGTAGCGTGCTCCGCTCTGGAAATCCAACGTGCGACCCTTCTGCCCACACGTGTCATGATTACTTTGGTGTTTTACACGTGCGTGGAATCCACCAGCACACTGAGATATGGCAAAACAAAATACAATATGCAGTTTATTACTACAAAACCACGATAAATAAATCCACAAACTTTCTAATGGATGGTTTTTTACTACAAAACCACAGTAAATTTACGTGGAATGGTCAAAAGGCTGTAGTCGTCGTCAAGCTGGGATCGACCTGATCTAACGGTCCTAACAGATTCGCGAAATTTCTTGTCTTGGTCATAACCTTCTGCTCCTACCCTCTTTCCTGAATCACTCCTCAACTTTCCTCTAAGGTTGTTAGGATCCTCCTCCCAGCTTTTCCGGACAGTGTCCTCTTACAAACTGCCGCAACTATTTTGCAGAGGACAATGTCCGGTCGGGGAATCCTAACTGCTTATGGGAGGTGACAGTGAGACAGAATCGGGCGGGTAAGCGCTCTTCCAATAAGTCCTCTCTCTCTCTCTCTCTCTCTACAATCCCGAATTTGCTCTTTTTTGAATTTTTGTGTCATTAGGGTTTCTTCTGTTCGTGAGATCGCTTGATTCTCGAATGTTCCGTCAATCGGTAATGTTTCCTCCATTGATCTCCGGCACGGAGGCGGCGGCGCCGCAACCGCAGCCTCCGCCGCCGGTGAGCTTGACCGAGAGCTCTAGACGGCAGCAGGTGGCTGCTTCTTCGCCGGCGAAATCTCAGCCGCTCCATAACTTTCCTCTCTCTGATCTCAAGTGGGCTATGAACCACACCAATACCCACCGGCTTCGCAAACCCTCCGGCAAATCCCCACTGCGCGATGCCGGGAATCCGGTGGTCGAGGAGAGAAATGATGGAGTCTCTAGTTCATCTTCTGATTCGAAACTGGGGAAGAATAAGGGAACCGCCGACGGTGTGTCTGATCTCGCTGCAGATCGTTCTGAGAAGAAGTCAACGGTGGCGGATGTTAGATCCAAGATCCTGATCCGAATTCGGCCAAAGGGCAGCGATGACGCCGCCGCCACATCCACAGCCGCCGAGATCGATGAGGACGTATTTGTTGGTGATCGGGGCTCCGATGGCTGTCAGGAAACAGAGGAATTTGCTCCAAAGACGTGGAATCTGAGGCCAAGGAAACCACCCCCGAAAAAGCGTCCGATTGGAATTGGCGGCGGGATGCTGAAGAGCTGCAGCGGTTCTGCGCAGGAGAACAAGGCTCAGGGAACGATTCGGCCTGAGTCAACTCGCTCTAGGAACAACGCGGATGCGAAGTTCGCAACGGAGAGAAAGGAGAAGAAGCGGAAATTAGCGATCTCGCTCTCAAAGACGGAGATCGAAGAGGATATCTTCGCATTGACTGGATCAAAACCTAGCAGGAGACCAAAGAAGAGAGTCAAGAATGTGCAGAAGCAGCTCGATGTACTATTTCACATTTCTCAACTCGTTTTTATTGTCGACCCGATTGATCTCTGTTTGCAACCTCACCTGACAATTTGATTTGATGTTCTGTGTTTTTGCCTCGCTTTGCAGGTTCTCTTCCCGGGTTTGTGGATGGGTAATGTCACTCCTGACGCGTACAAGGTCTCAGATCATGCCTGAAAGGTGTAACATTTGGTTGATTTCTGTTACGCTTTGCAATACTTTCCTGATTTCCTGATTCTATATCTGTTGTAAATGTTGTGATGAGAAAAGAGGTGTCCTCTTTCCTATTCTGATGTGAGGTTAATCCGATTGAATCGGGCGAAAATCAGAGAGGGGCATCACAGAGGCTCTCCACTGATTAAGGTATAGGATAGATTGGATAAATCGTAACGAATGTAACATTGTAACATACAGTGAATAAAATTTCCTTTCGAAAAGCATATGTACTTGCTTGCTTGTGTGGGCGTTCTAGTTACTTGTTGCTTGAATGAGAATTTCACTGTAGTTGTGTGTAAGATTTAAATCATCTGGGGTGTGATTGCAACATTTGAGTCTTAGTTTTCGGATGGTCCATGTCCATTTATGCGTATGATCGACATGGTAGGGTTTTAGTACCGTTTGTTACTTCCTTTCTGAAAATGGATAGTTTCAAAACGTCGTCCACTATTTCGGGCAAATTTTGCTAGTCACTTACTCCTCTTAAAGTCTCTATTTTCCATGCTTGATGATGTTTTGGACTCTGTGCCCATGTTTTCCTTTAAAGGAAAGATTATGATCAGCTTGTTGGTCATGTGGTGGCATCTTGTTCTTGTGTGATTGTATTTCTGTGATTGAAATAATCAGATCCTGATGCAGGATAGTGGGTTGCTATAAGCAGTGTATCAACTTGAAACTCAAAGTAGGAAATAGGAATAGATTGATCACATTCTCTGGGACATAGATTTTAGGTTGACTATAGATTATAATAACCTGCTGCATGTAAATGTTGCCAATGCCTCTTCTGCAAATAGAGGTCGAATGAGATCTGTAGCTGGTTTTCGTTGGTCATTGATCATTGCGTGGTTAATATACTCATGAAGGATGATATAGGGGTCGAATCATCTCGAGTCTGTTGATTTGTTGAATGTTATGTAGCATCATCGTCTGTGAAATACATGGTTTTGATAAATTTACGAGGATGATCACATCTAAGTGTTGCTTTTGCACGAATGCAGCATGCAGCAGAAATGCATGTGGCTTGATACATTATTTACCCCCCTTGCTGATGCTGATTTCGCTTTCGAGAAGTCCCAGCTTCACCCGAAAGGGTCATCAGATCAAGCCATAGATGTATGTGATGAGCCGAGAAGATGAACTCGTGTTGCAGCTCAGAGGTAAACCCTTCTGGCTTAAAGACAGCTTCAATCCGATCCATTGCCATCCTCTTCCCTTGCCCTTGGAAAGTTTCCAACTTCAATGAAATGGGGTTTCCTCAGTTGAAGAGAGAAGGAATACGAAGGGAGGAAACAAAAAGAATTTCGATTTTCTATGACAAAATCTGGTGAATCATCTCTAATGGGGTTTCCTCCTCAGTTTGAAGAGCCATCGTTCTTCTTCTCCTAATCCAGAAGTTGGTTCATATTTGGTTATTGTTGTTTTTGGGTGGGGAATTTTCTGATCTCTGCATATGTTTTTGTCAATAACTAATTAGATTTCATGCAAATCTAACAGGGAAATTTGTAGGAATCTGTCTAAACGTTCGTATAGGTTTGAGATACGGACAAATTATCACGTAAAAGAGGTCGAACTACAACGTTAAATCATTATAATAATAATAATTATTATTATTATTATTATAAATGTCGTGAATATATTGAAGGGAAGAATGCAAGAGCAAATTTGTGTAGTGTTGGTGGTAATTATTGTCATTCCAATCCCAAATAGGAAATTAGATGATATGAATTTAATTCGACCTTGAGAATTTTGACAAATAGTATCCCACGTACTATTACCCCTTTTGGAATGTTCATCGCCACTGCCCACACCCCCAACAATAGCAAGTGCATTAATGAGTATTTTAGCGTTCGATTTATATCCAACGGTCGAGATTGAATGCCGCGAGATTGCGGACAGCCACGAGATTGCCACGTGGCGTAATTAAGATGGTCGTTCTCATCCGGAATGCAAAACTCCTAAACCCCCACACCCCCCCCAAAAAAATAAATTATTCCCTCGTATATTTTGTCCGAACGCCGTGTAGATGAACCGGGTAACCAAACGTGAAACGTCGCGATGGTCTAAAACGTCATCCGATACGCATACACACATATACACATGCCTGTATATATATACACACACACGCGCACACATACACCTCTTTCTCGTACCCTGGGTTTCACTGAACACGAGACCGAAACTAAAAGAAAAAGAAGATAACGCAGTTTGGTTCGTGAATATGGGGGGATCGACCATGAACGGGTCGGAGGTAGGGGCGGGTGGGTCAAGGCCGGTGGCTATGGCCAAGACGTCGAACCTGAACCCGAGCGCACCCGAATGGAGACCCAATGGCTACGACGACAACGAGGACCTTCGTTCTCTCTTCGTCACTTTCTCCAATGGTTATCCCCTCAACGAAGGCCAGATCTCGACTTTCTTCACTAGGTTAGCCCGCGTATCATTTTCATATACTGCCTTAGTTTATTGCGTGTAGATTGGTACATATTCGCGCGAATTATGAAGAATTTGAATTTATATACATTAAGTATTTTTTGTAACGGTTAATCTAAGATGGGGTTCGAACTCGGGTGAGAGAGTTTTATAAACTATGTTTGTTATTTGGTTTTAGTAACGCGTATAATTTTAGATTAGTATTGTACGTTCGCGCGTAAAAACCGACCAACTGATTTCTATTAACGATGTATATATACATATAGAAGATCCATTTCATTGCATTTTTCGGATTTGATTCATCAATCACACGTTCAAATTATGGCATATATATATATATATGTGGAAAATGAATGGGAATTATATATACATAGGAAATACGGGGCGTGTGTGGAGAGGGTGTACGTGCACAGGACGAGGACGGTGGAAGGGGGAAGACGCAAGAAGCCGCCTCTGTTCGGGAAAGTGACCTTCAAATGGCCGTTCATGGTGCAAATGGTGATGAGTGGTGAGGACAAGGTCTGCTTCCGCATCGACGGTCGTCCTCTCTGGTGCAAATCCTTCGACCCCTCCCGCCTCCACCACTCCTCCTCCTCCCCCTCCTCCGGGGAACTTCACGGCGGCTCTTCTGATATCTCCCCCGCCGCCGCCGAGGAGTAGCCGTTCTGGTCGGGATCCTCTGTTCATGTCGGAACCCGACGGATCTTTGCTCTTTGGATGTTTGGGGTGGTTGTTGTCTTTGGTGTATTTCTGTCTTTTGTTGGGACTTGTTCGGCATTTGATATGGGCCCATCTAATTGGTGGATTTGTGGATTCTTTGTTTGTAGAATTGGAGAGCCCATAAATGCCCTCGAATAAAATTAATTGTTCATTTTCACTTTCGGACAGGACAGTATATTAACTTTCCATTTGCACATGTTTTAATTTTTTTTTCGGAATAAAAAAATCCAACTAAAATAATTATATCAGAGACGTCACGAACTGTACATATATGATATACCCATTCTTTTTGGACATTCTCCGATTAAAAATTGACAACTGGGGGAATCATTGCCGTTACGTGTCTCGTTTCGCTTAGGAAACAAATTGATTGATGAATTTTTTTTTTTTTTACATTGTGCCTGATGAGAAATATATGATTTAGTATAATCACTCTGGAGCCTGGTCGTTCCATGGAATAATTGAAAAAAAAAAGGCATATTATTACTAACTCCACCAGTTGATTATTTTAGAGAATGGATATACAATAACAATAGTAGTGAAAGAAATTGTAAATTTAAGGCAAAATCCCAAAAAATATGAATTTCTCAATTTTTATAAAATAAAATTTAGACTTTATTTTTATCAAACAAAATTCTAATTTTATTTTTAATAAAAAATAAATCTAAATTTTATAATCTTCTCCATTTTTAAATATGATGATTTGACGTACCGACATTCTATATGACATATTTTGATCATATTTGATACGTCATCATTCACCTACGACGATATCGTAATGTCATCTAAACAATCTTTTTAATTGAAAAATAAAATTATAGTTTTATTTGATAAAAATAAAGTTTAGATTTTATTTTGTAAAAATTGAGAAGTTTAGGTATTTTTTAGAATTTTTTCTAAATTTAATAACTGTTTCTATTAATTTTCTATTTTCATTATCAAACAAAGGCTTTTCTCTGTATATTTTCCTCGTCGAGAATCCGGAACTGGAGTAACAGAGAGAGAGGGAGAGAGCTCTATGGAGCCTGCAAAAGGGAGTGGAGATGGCTACCAAAACGTGATCGTAATGCGTCATGGTGATCGAATCGACAATTTCGAGCCGCTCTGGGTGTCGACAGCCGCGAGGCCGTGGGACCCGCCTCTCGTTCAGGACGGTATGGTCCGGGCCTTCCGCACCGGTCAGAGGATCCGATCTCAGATCGGATTCCAGATCCACCGCGTCTTCGTCTCCCCTTTCCTCCGCTGCGTCCAGACCGCCTCCGAGGTCGTCGCCGCCCTCTCCGCCGTCTCTGTCGATCCCAACGCCATGTCTTCCAAGGACGTCGCTTCCATCGACCAATCCAGGCTCAAGGTCTGTATCATCCCTCCTCCATGTAAACCCCTAACGACATGTACGAATGGAGTTGCAGTATCGATTCAAATGTGCGGAAGACTTCTGAGTTTGTTGTCTGAGAATTTAATCCGAACCGAGTTTGGCTCTATGATAGGTTACATGTTTCTGTGCTCTGGTTTGCTCTTCAGGTAGCTATCGAACTAGGCTTGTGTGAGATGTTAAACACAGTGGCCATCAGGCGTGAGCTTGCTCCCAAAGATGGAATCTTTGGGTTCAACGTTTCAGATCTCGAAGCCATGTTTCCTGATGGAATGGTGGATCATAACGTGGATCGGATCTACAAGGAGGTGATTTACGTGTTCTAAGATTAATCAAGAGCTCTTTAGTATGTCTTCTTTATAAAGTTGCTTCTTTTCCTTCCTGTTGCGCTCTCTTGTTCAGCTGCCGCGATGGGAAGAGACAGTGGAGGGTTGTAGAGATAGGTACTTGAACATTGTCAAGGCTCTAGCAGATAAATACCCTTCTGAGAACTTGCTGTTAGTCACCCATGGTGAGCATTTCTTCCCACTTCTAGTATATATGTGTGTGTGTATGTATATATACACATATATCTTGTGTACAGTCTTGGCTCAATATACTGCTATCATCTAACTTGTCCTAAGGGTCAAAGCACTTTCAGCCTTAGTTTTGCTTCTTTCTTGTTGCTGCATTGGCCTCCTCCAAGATAATTTTGTTTTCTATAACCACTGTTTCTACTCGCTTTGTGTTGTCATAAGAGAAGCAAAGAGTCTATAATGAACCATCTGATATCGGTCCTTCCACCAGTCATGTGAGCTCAATGTTAGTGTAAATCACATTGTCGGAATGCAGGGGAAGGAGTAGGAACTGTGTTTTCCACGTTACTCGAAGATGTAACAGTGTACGAAGTGGACTACTGTGCATATGTCGAGTTGAGAAGACAAACATCCAGAAAAGATGGGTCGCTTGAAGCTGGGGACTTCGAGGTTATAACCAGTCACGGTCAAGCGGGAATCCGATACTATCCCTCGGGCATCACAGACCATGATCCTGTCATAAGCCAAACTCCAGTCTAATCACTGTCTCATTTTCACCAAATGTTCTTGTATCTGGTTTGTATTCGAGCTCCTTTTGTGTGATCATGGATTCCCAATTTCGTTCAATCAATAAGATCATTGTTCTGCGCTTGCATCAAAGTTGTCATTATTCTGAGTTCCCCTAATGACACCAGTAGGTAAATTACAATGCAGGAGAAGGAATAAATAGGCTCTGATGGCGTGAAACATGCATATGCATATCATAAATCATCCATTTATCACCAATGACAGAGCCGATCCAATGTTCGATCTATAAACATTACAAGAGAAATAGTGCACATGAGCACAAAAATGCGGCTTCTTGGTGATGGGTCTTCCCAAAGAGCACAAAGCGAATTGTCTCATCATTGTCCAGACGCAGTTTCAATCAAAGTCCCGAGCTTTCGATCAAGAATCATCCTTCTCTGTGGAAGAACAGATCAAACCCATGATTCAGGGGAAATCAAAGTCAGTTTTTTTTTCTAACAGTGCTTCAAACCGTGAAGATGGGGTTCGTTTTTTTTCCTTACTTCTTCGGTGTTCTCGAAGGAATCCCCAAACTCGTTCTCAGATTCGCTCCAGCTTCCACTGCATCTTCAACCTGTTGTTTGTGTTTCAGCAGCAATCGATCAATCACGCTTTCGGAAACTATCCTCGACAGACAACGGAATTACGAAACTGACCTTGTGGATACCAGAGGCATGAAGGAAACCGACGGAGGCGGTGGCGAAGGCGCAGACGAAGAGAGAAGCGACGCCGAAGGCTTTGACCGGCATCAGTCGCGAATCTCCGGCGTAGCCTCTCCGGTAAGACCTCACTCCCCACATGAACTGAGCCGCACTTCCGGCGACCCACCACCAGTGGGTGGATCCACCTCCGCCGGCGCCGCTCTGTTCCTCCATCATCGCCGCCGTTGATACGATTTGCGATGTGATCGCGAGCTTCTTCGCCGTCCTCCTGGGTGTGCCCTTTGATCTCAGCGGATTTCATGGGCTTTCTTGTTTTAGGCCCATATGCCTTTGATGGGCTTCTTTTCATTGTATCGTCACTTCTTTAAAAACCCAATATTATTTTCATTTTTGTGAGGGTACTAATAAAAAATTATATTGGAAAGGAGATTGTATTAATTATTTAGTTACGGGGCAATTTAGTCAATAGCGATGGACCGAAGTGACCGTATCTGCATTTCAGGCATACGAACTTCCGGATGACAAAATTTTTCAATCAAATATTATCACTACACTTTTTATTTTTATTTTTTATAATTAGGTGTTATGGATCGAAGTCCAAACTAATCTTAAGATCAGGAGAAATATGGGTGATTAAAATTATGTTTCTCTCCCCAACCCAATTTGAAATTCGAATTCGAGACGGGACAAACATTTTACATTTCTTTTTCACCGATTGAACTATCCAAGTTGGATCTATTATCACTTAATTATGAACTTGTACATACGAACTTGTACATACATATCATATGTATTCTATTAGATAACATCATTGAAGACGTATTTGTAAGATTTAGGACAAAAAAACACTGACATCTCAAATTTCACTCCTATCAAATTTTTGTGATAAAATTCGGTTTATCGCAAGAACGAATTTATCAAACCGAATCTAAATCGAATTGGGATTAAAACTATTAGAGCGAGTTTGGTTTTCGCTTTGTATGATCACGGTTTCAAGTATTAATTGGAGCTGGAAAAAAAAGCCAGTTCACTATAGTTTATTAATTATATTAATTGGTGATTGAATATGATAACCAACTCAAGCACATATATATATATATATATGTAGGTTTCCGATTGATATTATATTTATAAATCGCATTAATATTGATCGGAAAGATGTCTGTCTCTTTGTGTAACTTTGCGTTTCGAATTGGACTGTCTGAAGAATTATTTAAGTTAAAAAAATGAAGAATTTAATACAATAAAAAAAAATATAGAAAAATATAGAGAGTCTAAAGACGCAGAAACTTCAAGAAATATTCGAGGGGAAGTGGGTCATTATCAAATTGCAACTTTTAATATAATTATAATATATGATATGTAATAATATAAGATTATGGAGACAAGACAAGGTTGTAGGGGAACCCCGCCACAATATATTTAATTTTATAGAAATGATCGATGTGATGCAGATCTGTGTATCTAACTTTTCCTCTCGATGAATTATTATTGGATTTGCTTCTAAAATCCAAATCTTTTTTCACCCCGTGGAAAAGCATCTCAATGGTCGGCCCACTTTTCACCTTCATCTCCATGTTGGTTACTGATATAATATATATGTAACCATCTAAATTTATTTCATGGAAAATATTTAGGCTGTAAATGCATACAAACATATATACGTACATAAATATAGAAACTAAATTCCAAGTGCTGATTAATTAGTGGAAATCCCTTGTAAATGATACGTGATTTTGTTAAATATATATTAAGGTTATGTGTAGACTTTAATAGTATTATTAGAAGCATTAAATTTGAAGTTATTTTATTGTGCTATTTTGTTACTGCGAGTGTCGACGAGGCGTGTATGTATATATATATATATATATAATTAGATACGCAGGTGTATATTACAATGTGGTTTATTCATATAGCATATATAATATTCGGTCGGACCAAAAGAAAGATTTGGAGGGTCAGATTTGGTGTGGCCCAAAACGTTACCATTCAACGAACTTCGTCCACTATCATATATACCCGCAACTTATAAAATCTAGTAACCAAATAAATTATTAAAAAATCAAATACAAATTGACCATAAAAGCCACGTAAATATATGTATCATGTCTAAACATTTCATTTGCGATCACCCATCATCAATACAAGACCATTATATTATGCGATTAAATAAACAGATTCGGTGGTTGAGAAGATGATCTGGGTTACACATGGTAATTTTTTTTCGTAAAAATAGAATTTAATTTTCACCGTAAAAAATGAAGAAGTGAAGGGAAGGGAAAGCACGAAGGGGACAGCGTATTTAAGGAGCCAAACAGATCAGGTCCCGTTATAAAGTCGACTCGACCGATCTATAACATATGCTATACATATATATATGTATCTCATATTAATTTTTCGTTGTGTTTATATCGTCCATATATATATATATATGCATATAGTGGGGAAACATAGGCTACTGTAGATTCATCAGGACCACATTTGACTTACTGTACGGATCAAAATACCAATATATATATATATATATATAAAAGGGTCATACGTCGTTATCGTAAAGTTATATATAAAATCAATATGAACGCCCTCCTTGTACCGGAGTCCCCTAATTATCGTGGATCATCACGTCGCACAGCATGCATATAGACGTGGCAACTGTCTCAGCCTCACATTTTTTACCGACCGGTCCACGCGTTTGAATATATATGTGTATATATATATATATACAGTGAGTTTGTATAAGAGTTTAGATATTATTATGATTTCTATAAAATGATTTGATTTAATTTTAGTTGAAGAGGAAAGGACAAAACGGACTGATATATTCGAAAAGTAACACTGACAATCGATACGATGTGTTGATTCGTTTGCGATACGAGCAAACTGGTAAAATAAATAATTTTATGGATCTTTTCATGAATAATTCTAGAGAATTAGGAGAGAAAACAACCCGAAACAAAAGAAAAATCTAAATAAAAAAAATCAAATCACATTATTCTTTTAAAAACTCAAAAACAAATATAATATCTAAAATAAATTCTCTATAGTTTCCAATATTTACTTTGATAATAATAATAATAATAATAATAATGCTAAAATGGGAACGAGTGGCATGTGCGCCATGTGTCCCCTCCATCATCACATTTGACATACAAACATTAAATCCCGCCTTGATCATCGTATATCTACGAATACGTCGGTCGCTCCCTCATTTCCCCGCAAATCTTCTATGTATCATATACTCCATACATACATACATACATACATACATACATACATACATACATACATACATACATACATACATACATACATACATACATACATACATACATACATACATATATATTGACTTTTTTTGGTATTTCATTTGATTTTTTCTAAATATTGTCAACAAATTGATGCGCAAATTGGCAATCAATCGGACTCAATAATAGTGTTGGGTTGAAATTTGTATTCGTTTTCCACGTGTACTCTTGCGGCATTGTATTGTCTTCTTCCCCTCCAATCCAGACAGTCGTATTTCCATTTTCCACTTTGTTTATATCTGTCGAGTTTGATTTTTCTCTATTTTTAATATCTCGATATCAAACCTTTAAAATCATAAAATACAAAAAAAAACAATTCTAGTTATTTTTTGTAGGGTGACAAATTAATACTCCATCCGTTTCAAAATAATTATTGTTTTAGGTTATTTCACATTTTTTAAGAAAAGATAGAAAAAATTACATATACTTTTATTTAATGATAAAAATAATATTACTATTAATAATTTATTAGAATTTAATAGAGATAAAATTAAAAACTATTGTAAAAAATATATTAAAAATGTAAAATAATAAATATTTTGAAACACACCAAAAACTATAAATATTTTAAGATGGAGGGAATATCTAATTTTCGCGTATATCTATATATAGAAATGGGATATTTTTGACAAAATCATCGGGAACTGAAACCTATGTGTTGGAACCAATCGTTCTAAAGAGAAAATGGTTATAATTGTCTGAAAAAATTATTAAATATTTAAAAGGTTTTTTTAATGGCGTTAAATCAGGAAAGTTAATCGGTGATATCATTCTTTGATTTAATATTACAAAAAACGAAACAGAAACTGCAATCAGTGCTACTGTTTGGGTCAATCAATTAAAAGATTCCAATTATTTTTTTTTTATTAAAAATAGACAATCTCATGGTTGTGGTGGGATGAGGACAGTCAATTTGCTTCAAACCCCTACAATGTGTATACTACATATATATATATATATATATATATATATATATATATATAAATATGAAATATGCTGTCTATTGTTAATGAATCCCTCGAAAAACAGATGGGGCAAAAATATTTAAATGCAAGGAGTGGTTATATTTATATGATAGCAATAAAGTTGGTTTTTTTAATTCATAATAACGAGGCGGAGTTGAAAAAGACGTATCAACAGTGACGCTGCACATATTTTGTTATATCATACATATATATTTTGCTTATATGTACGTTTTTTATTTAATGCCCCGGCCAATGCATATTGAACACTTACCCATAGAAAGAAAAAGCTGAAATATGTGTCAACAAAAAGCTTTTGGTATGGCAGGAAATGGTCATTTCATATAATATCACTGGCACTGATATATATATATATATATATATGTATGTATGTATGTATGTATGTATGTATGTATGTATGTATGTATGTATGGTTTATAGTTTTAATTTTGGTATTGAAGAGGGGCCAAGTCGCGTGTGAATCTCGTGGTGCTAAATGAAACGAAAATATTTTGTTGTTTTCTAATTTATTAATATAGACCCATGTGGAAATTCATTATCAGATATTTATCGACATGAATTGTATGTATAGGTTTATAAATTATAACGCATGCATGTCGTGATTAATTGTGCAATTGTAGAAGATATATGTTAATTAGCATTAGATGATATAAAAACCTTTTGGAAATTATTAATCTAACGACTGTAGAATAGTAATTGTAGAAAAGAAAATAAATACATATATGACGTCAGAAGCGTCCTAAAAAGGAAGACGACAATTCATGTGCTAAGAGGTGACGTCAGATGCACGAGTAAAAGAAAATATCGACGAGGCCATGCAAATTATTGTTCGATTTTTTTTGGGGCGCTTTTCTACGGATACATCATACATGTATATATACATATATATATATATACATGTGTGTATCTATATATTAACTTTAAAATTTCACATGAGTAAACTGGTTGGCTGATTGCTGAACTGTAAACTGATATCTTTGTTCCGTGGGCCCCGTTTCATCACCAAAATATATACAATCAAATAATGAAAAGAAAAATCTCTCTACTATTTTCATTATAATATGAAAAAGCCAAAATAAAATAAAAATATGACTGAGGAATATTTATACAAGCCCACTTCACCTCTATTCCTAGACTCCTATACTCTTCAATCTCTCTCTCTCTCTCTCTCTCTCGATCTCTCTCGAAATGGAAAAACATATCAACATAGAGAGTGGTGCTCTTCAAGACAACACTTTCTTTGTCACTACAACCTCGTTCTCCTCCTCCGCCACAGCCGCATCTTCTCTGTCTCCATCTCCGTCTTGTTCCTCCACTTCATCTTTCCCTGAAACTTGCACAGAGGGCAATTCCAGAGCGAAAACATCAAGAAAAGCTCAAGACGACAACAATGGCGCCAAGAAACGGCGCAAGAACAGCGAGAATGGTAGTGACAAACATCCTACGTACAGAGGTGTACGGATGAGAAGCTGGGGCAAATGGGTGTCGGAAATCAGAGAGCCCAGGAAAAAATCAAGAATCTGGCTCGGGACTTATCCCACTGCCGAGATGGCGGCTCGAGCCCATGACGTGGCGGCTTTAGCCATCAAAGGCACCGGGGCTTTCCTCAATTTCCCCGAACTTTCCGGCGAACTTCCTCGTCCGGCGTCTACTTCTCCCAAAGACATCCAAGCCGCCGCTGGCAAGGCTGCCGCTGCCACGTGGCACGATCTGGGCCAAAACGGCGACGAGGGCTCGTCTAAGACCGAACCGAGCGGAGGAGTGATGTATGCGGTTCAGTCGTCGAGCAGTTTGGTGTCTTCGGACACGACGACGTATGAATCGTCGTTGATTTCGTCGGCTTCGAGCACGGACAAGGAGGGAGACGAGGACACGCTGTTTGACTTGCCGGATCTTTTCACCGACGGTTTGACTCGAAACGACGCGTTTTGTTACTACTCGTCCACGTGGCAGCTTTGTGCGGCCGAGTCGGTGTTCCGGTTGGAGGAGCCATTCTTATGGCAGGATGACTGAAAAGCCCCTACCCGGTTTCCGGCAACAAGCTCTCACTAACACTTTAAAAAAAAAGTTCCAATTCACTATTTTTGTTTATTTTTCTTCTCTCCTTTCTCTTTTCGTTTTCACTTTTGCGTGTGAAGAAATTCGGTCATTTTGATTCTTTTCCTTCAAAAGGGTGTTTTAAATTAATGCCAGTGTAATATATATATATATATATATATATATATATGTGTATGTATATATGTGTGTGGACAAGATGGTCTACTCATGGAGAAAAAAAAAACATACAATAAAGACCCAATGTCGAATCATTCGTGATTAGATTTTGTTTCCTTTTGCTTTTTGGCCCCTAAATTTGGAGAATTTAATGAATCTGAGGCTTAGTTTTGTCATTTACGCACGAGCATCCTCGCAAGACACACGAAACGTCTTATCCGTTGTCTCCACTTTGTTAATCTGATTGATTAATTGTAGTAAATCATTACTTCGACGAAACGTACAAAGAAATCTTGAATTAGTAAGCTAAGTATCTGTTCGATTAATATATATATATATATATATATATATATATATATATATATACATTCCTTTTTTTTGTTTAAAAAACCTTTTACCATATAGTTTTAGATAATTTCGGATTTTTATAGAAATCAACCAAAATTTAATTCGAAGTAGAATGTGAAAAAAGTTGGTAAAAAATATACTAATATTGTAATAATACTTGATTAATCTAAAATGTAAAATCGATGAACGTTTTTTTTTGTAACAGAGTGTCATGTGTCGAAAAACTCAAACTAATTGCGGGTCATGAGCAAACCATGCGATACGCTCTCCTCTCCAATTTGAGACTCGAATTCAGGACGGAACATTGAGTTACTCAAGTCGAAAGTTGGGTTGGATGAGGGAAGCATGCATTCCACGTTCAAGGTTGGTACCACAGATACGCGTCATACTTAGTGTACGCATTTTCATGAGACTATGATTGCAAAATTGACAGTGAAGGAGACAAGCTTTTTGGCCATAATTCCTTTCCATTTCCTTATTTTCTGTGCTGGGAAATAACATGACTCACGTGGTGACGACGCCTTTGGACCCTTATATATATTATATATCGTATATAAAGCTTTACTTTTGTTATTATTCTCATTTTATTTTATAATCTTTATATATATATATATATATATACTTTTTGTGGCCTATCACCTTTAATGTATGTGAAAGTGAAAGGATATATACTGTGTTTAGGGTTTGCTTTTCCCCAACACCATACTTTGTCCACCATTACGAGGTAAAAGACGGACTGTTATGGAGATTCCCAAACACATTGGACCCAAATAATATGACAGCGACAACGTATGATATATTACCATAAACACAATCTTCTCTCTTATTACAACAAATGGAAGGGAATCTAGCCTTCCACCGTCGCCGTCGGTAAAATTTCTCGACGAAATTCCATTTTCAACGAAAATAAACCAGTTTCTTATGAATTCGAAATCGATTTGATCGATTTCTAGATACATATGGATGGTTATAAATTATTATTTTGGAGGGCTGAGGCCACTAAGAGGCGTAGTGGTTATGAAAGTGATCTCACAATCATTATAAGAAATATAAGATATATATACACATATATATATATATATATATATATCTGTATGGTCTCAAATGATTTAAGGGAATTCATCATAGGAGGCTCCATCGAATTGAGGACAATTGCAAGACATCAATCCCCAATCAACTAGCGCCCAAAGGATTAACATTAAATACTGTTTATCAAGTTAGGTGCTCCACAAGGTACCTAATCATTCGTGTTCTAATCTCTTTCTCTTTGTTAATTCTAATAATTATGTCTGCGAATACATACATACGTGCGTACATACATACATACATACATACATACATACATACATACATACACATACATACATACATACATACATACATACGTGCGTACATACATACATACATACATACATACATACATACATACATACATACATACATACATACATACATACATACATACATACATACATACATATTATACGTGCATATGTAATTGGACGAAACTAGAAGCGACAAATTACAAGACGCTGAATTCTATTTTGGCATCTTGTGGCATGCAAACCTAACTAGCGAGTAATTAATAAATGTTGGGAATCAGATAAAGAAACAGAAATTGGAATAATTTTCTCTCATTCTCATTCAAATCTTCAACCACATAATACCTTTATATACAAAAAATTAAAAAGGGGAAAATGAAATTCAAAATACAAATTAGCCCATACAGTTAGTTAATGTGTACATGCACTTCCAGAGGTACAATTTTCTAATATGGGTTAAGTACATGTGACAAGAGTTTCGGACAGTAACTAACGATGTCGGCGTAATTAAGCGAATTAATGCTCAATTATTAACTAATCTGCCGATTCGTGTTTTCGCATTTGATGATTGGTCCGACCACTAACAAGATCGCAGATCCTTTGTTAAATTATCTCAAGAGAGCTGGAGAGAATCTAATGCTTTTGGGGAAATCATGAGGAAAACTATACTTTTGTCACTCTTGTGTATTCTTTTGAGGCTAAGTGTGTTTCCTCTTTTGTCTACGGCTAAAGAGAGATAAAGGTGTGAGTAACACAACACATTGCCTCTCTCTCATTATTTTTTTTTTTTGGGGGGG